TCCAAAACCAGCATTGGCTTTGGAGTTTTATGTTTTTTCATCTTCGTTTTGATTGATATGTTTTCTCAACTTCCATTAGTGTTTAACTTATTGAAATCAAAAAGGTTGTAATGTCCCTAACTTTCTTGTGAGATACCATTGATGATAGCTTAATTATAAGCCACCAAAGTCTGACCCCATAGTTCCTATTATTTCATGGACATTGGAACTGTAATTCATGGCAAAGCTAAGCAATGATCAAACTAATTTAGTGGATTAAGGGTCCCTCTCAAAACCAAGTTAGAAAGGTGAGATGAGATTGTTTGTTGATAATAATCCTCATCTCCTCCATCGGAATTTACAAAAACTATTATCACCAACTTAATAAGAAAATCAATGTTTCTATATGAATTCGAAATTTATTTAAGTTAGTTTATATTTTTAATAAATAACATTCAATAAGTTTGAAATTTAAATTTTAACATATATAATCTTTTATTTTATTCTTAAATTATAACCTTACAAAGAGTATCGATTAATTTTCATTATTTTTTTACTCTTTTCATTTCATTACCATCAAACTAATTCTTTCTTTATATTTGTTGACGAGATAAAGACTTTATTTTCTATAATTTTTAGATTATAGGGCTTTTCCTAATCTCTCTTGCAGATTATAAAATTAAATGTTGATTGAATCTAAACGATTACTAAATATGGCATGGCCTCATTGATCAATCATTAAAACAATTGAGGGTTTTCTCTTCCTTTCATATTATATGAAGATACATATTAACTCTAATTGATGAAATAATAATTAAATTTTCAATAGTAAAGCTGCATGCATGTGATATGCTTTTATTTTTTGGTACAAATGTTAGACAATGTAGGATATATGTAGCTTAAAAATGAAATATTACATGCAACCAAAATTAAATGCTAGATCAATGACATTATTATATAAGTTATAACAATGCATGTTAGAAATAAATAAGAGCAATACATAGATTCTATATGTTATCCTTTACAAGATAAGGGAATTGGACATTGATGCAAGAAGCAGAGCACATGAAGGACATGGACCCTTGAAATAACTGTTCGTGGCTGGCCAAGTTGGCCACGAATCGAATTACTCAAGGGCAGTTGATTTTCTTTGTCTAAGAACAGAGCTGGCATGATCCTAGAATGTGCCTTGGATCAGTGGGTTGCACCCAGGCAAAAAATAAGAAACTCAATTTCAAACAAACCCTTTGTTTTTACTTGATTTTGCTTCTAAACCTGACTTTTTTCAAGTCTAGAATTACTAGAAATTACATTTTCAGTCAAATTTTCATCAAAGAACATCAATTTATATATAAGCAAACGGAGCAAACGGAGCAAACGGAGCAAACAGAAGAGGAACAGGCAAGTGGCATCCCACCAGCTGATGGTGAAGGTGAGGCCCCACATTCTGAAGAGCGGGGGGGGGGCAAGCAGTTAGGTCGGCAGTTGTTGTGAACGCTTGTGACTTTACAAAGACATCAGATTGTAACAATAAAAAATAAAAAAATTCCAATGTATTTGTTGACAGAGGAATCGACCGGTAGATGGGCTGAGTCTGGCGTGGTGCGACTGCCTATCTTGAACACGCAAGCTTTTTTACACTCAATGTGGACTCTTTATTGAAGGGGTGGTTTGGCTTTGGTTTCTGCTTTTGAGGGTAAGTTTATAGATACATATCTCACGCCCAACACATGACATGACCAGCTTTAAAGCCAAGTAAAGGACATGAAAATATAAATGTCGAAGCAACCCAACCATATATGTTTGGTTTAATTTCTCAGCTTCACCCTCTATCTCTTTCCACGTTCCACCTTACACCATTCATGTAGTTAATTCTCTACCTAAACCTTTTCCATTTTTTCTCTATTCTCTTCCCTTTTTTTGGAGTTTATAATTTTCCATTAAAGAAGTTTATTGCTTCGGCTTAGATTGACATGTTGAGTTTCGGAGTTGATGATCAAAATTCTGAAATTATAAAAAAGAGAATGATTAAAAGTAAAAGTAAATAATATTTTCTACATTTACATTATGTACTCAAATTACAAGTTAGATATAAGAAATCAAAAATAGAGTAAAAAAAATAAAAAAAATGCATTATATAATACTTAGAAGACTTTGTTTATGATTAGAAGATGAGAGGTATATAAAATAAAATAATAATATAATCGAGCTAATGTGATATTATACATATTAGATTGATTTGATGTGTCAGATCAATTTAAAAATAAAAATTTTTTTAATTGTTTGTTAATAGTTTTTAATGAAATAAAATATTATTATATTTTTTGGATTCAAAAATACTTTGAACAAAACCAAAGAGTGGGTATTTTGAATAAAAAAAAAAAAAAAGAAGTTTGCTGTGAACAAATCAGAGAATTCGATTTATTGAGAATATGTGTATTTAATAACATTAACAACAGTTTTCTGCCATGGACCCATGGTTCTCTCCTTCCAACCAAACGGTATATAAATTTTGTACGTACTACTATTATTGTTATGACTTCAAAAAGTTTACAATTTTTGGTTGGCCCAATGAAGACAATATATCATGGCCCATTTCATAACACAATATTAAAGACTAATTTCATTCTTGGTGAAATTAATTAAAATGTTTAACTAATTGATTTTATTCCATAACGAACAAAAATCTGATTGAACATCATAATATTAATTGTCATTAAATAAAAGCATTAGGGATTTAGATAAACAATTTGCATATTAAGATTTATAAAATTTTTATTTTTTATTTTTACATAGAAATAGTGATTTTTATGCTACGAATTTAAGATTTTTATGCAAATTTCATCCTAATTACTTAAATTATTGTCAAGTAGATAAATTTGAAATTTAAACTTTAATCTATAACTCAAATCACGCACCTATAGTCTATTTTCTTGTTTTTATATTGTGATATTTTTGGTACAACAAAATTTTGATTAAGTAATTTTATTTTTATGTTTAAAGTACTATTTCTCTAATAAAATTTAATATTTCTCCTTTCATTTTTTTTATTTTTAATGTATTTTAAAAGGAAAAATAGAAAAAAGGAATGATGTATACAAGAAAAGACATTAATTTAAATTTACGTAAATTGATAGTAAAATTTATAAGAGACTAAGGCAGAATTTTTTCGGTTAAAATGTCATTTTCTAGTGATTAGTATATAATTTAGAAAAATAATAAGTAATATCATTAATTAACTAATTAATTAGTCGGAGAGGCTGACCATCGGCAACATGCACTAGCAAAGCTGAAAACCCAATTAATTACCAAAATACCTGTCTTATTTTCCTGAATTGCCTATTATACCCCAGGACTCCAAAACTTTCTGACTACACCAATTATTGTGGCCAAATTTACAGTAATGACATAAATGCTAACAGACTTTGATGAAAATGTAATATCTAAAATTATTTTGTATGATCCCATTTATGTAATTTTAATGCAAAAAAAAAAAAGAAAAGGACCATGTAAAATTATTTTTTTGAAATGCATATGTTTCACCTTTATTTGAACGTTTCTTCAAATAGACTTGGAAGAAAAGGATGTTGAAATATATTTTTATTACATATATGAATTTTAGGGAATGTTAGGGGACTAAGGGCCCTATATCTTTATCTTTGAAAAATAATTAAATTACTGGTTCAAAAAAAGGGATTATTGAGTAAAGAAAATAATATAATCCCCCAAATTGAAGCTCTTAGTGGGGCTTAAAATTATGGGTATAAATTATATATTAATACTCGTAAGTTATTCGGATTCGATTCGAAAAAAAAATTGAATTTAGTTCGATTATTATCGAGTCCAGCTGAATTCGAGTATTTTTATATTCGATTCGAATAACTCGAGAGCCTAATCGAACTTTTATATTTAAATATATTTTTATTATTTTAATTAATAAAATATTTCAAATTCGAGTTCGAATATAAATAATCAAACTTTTATTGAGTATACGAATTAAGCTTATTTTTACATATTAATCGAACTTAATCGAGCGAATTCGAGTTGCTCGAATTCGATCACAAATCGAGTTTGAGCTTGAAACATAAAATTCGATTGAGTTCGAACCGAATATCGAGTTACGAGTTGTGAGTTGAATTTGAGCTCGAACTTTTCATTGTATCGACTCAACTCGACTTGATTACACCTTTACTTAAAACACACAAAAAAAAATCCACGAAAATTATATAACCTAATATTCAATAATTCAAAATATTGAAATCAATTTTCGATTTTGAGCTCAAATCAACATTAAATTTCATGATTTCCCTCTTTGTGATTAGTTATAATCCCTTTCTTTATTATCGATTTTTTTAATATCTATTTTTATAATTAGTATTTTTAATCATTTAACTTAAAAAATTATCTTAGTTATTATCAATAAAATTTTTAAATTTCATGAACAAGTCAATAAGATGATATATATTTAAAATATATTAAAATAATTAATTAAAAAAATAAAGTATATGTATAAATATTTGAATTTCACTTATAAAATTAAAAGATTAAGAATATATAAAAACAAACTCTAAAAAATTTAAAAAATTAATAAAATTATACTCACATTAGCAATATCCATTAAAGAAAAGTACAAAACAAATATATTGTAATTTCTTGAATTTCCAATATAGAACTTCCTTTTCATCTATCAGTTTCCGTATTTTTTTGTATTTTAACCGTATTCCAACTTTTTTGGCTATAAGGCCTCAGTAATTAATATTTTTTATTTTTTCTTACAAGCACGTGAAATAATGAAAGTACTACTCGAATTTTATATCGTCGTTTAACATGTAATTTATAATTTTAAATTTGGTCCTGTTAAAAAAATATTTTCTACCCGTTTGACCCCCGACGTTACGCTAGAATATTTGCCAAAAGAAAACTGGCAAGGGGCATTAATGTCACATGGTGACCTCTACTTACTGTTCCCTTGACCCAAAACAAATAAATAATTGTCCTCACCAAATACTAAGCCTCGATTAAATTAATTAATCACAAAGAAGCTTCTTCTTCAAAATTTTGAATTTTTTATTTTCCATTTCTTTCTTTTTTTTTTTTAATTTAAAATATGTGCAATCTCTTTCACCATAGACTGTTACAACTTACAATTAGAAAGCAGAGAGAGAAGAAAGATCTGCTCTCTTTCAACGCTTGCGTGTTTCTTGAGTTCTTGACTCGGTTCTGCTCGCATTGAACCAGCTTGCTGCTGTTTAGCTGAAACTCTGCGTGTAGACTGGTGCAATAGGCTTGGTTTTCCCATGCGGGTTTGCGTTTTGATTGAAATTAAGGCATTGGATCCAGCGATCGAATAAATGGCGGTTTTCCGGTGAGCGTCGCCGGAGCTCCGGTAAGAGTCCGGGAATTCCGGTGGATTTTGCTGCGGAGATGTTTAAGTCGGCGAGATGGAGGGGCGACAAGAACAGGATCAAAGCTGTCTTCAAGTTGCAGTTCCATGCTACTCAAGTACTCTCATTCTTTCAAATTCTTCTTTGTTTTACAAAAAATCATATTAATTCAATATTTTCTTGCAATTCTATTTATTTATCTTTGTTTGTTAGCTTCATTTCTGAGAAAATGCAGCTCAAACGGAAAAAAGAGTTTGATTCAATTGTTCTCTAACGCTGCTTGAGCTATTTTGTTTGGGTTATATTTTTTTTTCAAAAAAATTAATTATTAATAATTACTTTATTTTTGTAAGAAAATTTAACAAATACATATTAATTATTTTCTATGTGATTGAATAATTTAAAAAATGTTTTATTTTCTTTGTAATTTAGGTGACGCAGTTAAATGTGCAAGCATTGATGATATCAATAATTCCTGGCGATGAAGGAAAATCGACAACAAAATTAGAAAAGGCGACGGTTCAGGACGGTAACTGTCGATGGGAAAATCCAGTCTACGAGACTGTTAAATTTGTTCGGGACCCAAAAACTGGGAAGATCAATGAAAGAATCTATCATTTTATTTTATCATCAGTACGATTTTTCCTTTTTGATGAATTTATATTATTTGTGTTTTTGTGATGTAAATTGTATGTAATATTTTATATGTCTGTTGTAGGGATTGGGAAAAGGAGGTTTGATTGGGGAAGCTTCAACTGATTTTGCTGCTTATGCTGAGGCAATTAAAACTTCCACCATTTCTCTTCCATTGAAGAATTCAAACTCTAAAGCAATTTTGCATGTTAGTTTACTCTCTCTGTTTCTCTCTCATATTTATATGTGTCACGGATTACTTCTGGCAGGCTTTTTCTAAAATCGTTCCTCATATTTTAATGTTGATTGATGTTTAAAAATTGAATTCAAGTTGTTGGTTTTGAACAGGTCTCAATACAGAGGTTGCAGGAAAATGATGATCAAAGGTAAAAGCTTGTCACTTTCTATTGAATTCTCAGAGCTATTGGAGGTTGTTTCTGGAATCTGGAGTGTTTGTTTGCGAGCTTGACTTTGATAATTTTTGCAGAGAGTTGGAAAAAATTGAAGTTGCAAATATTAAATCGCAAGATAGGAGCTTGAACGCCCGCTTGAGCAATGGTGATACGGTTGAAAGCACTAAGAATGATCCCATTGAAGTAAGTCTCCTATCCCATTTAGTGAAGCCGTTGATTTTGGGTTTCTTTTTGCTGTTGTTATTTAGACCATTTTCTTCTCCTCAACTTTTTGTCTCTTGATATGCGCTTGGTATCAAAGCTATTTGAAAATGGGTTTGCTTGTTTTACTTATTTGTTTATTTATTATCTTTTCAACAGGATGTGCCTTGCAGCAAAACTACCCACAATGTTGAATTGCGTGGGAACCATAGGGGATCTAATGGATCTGATATTACCGTTTCAAGTTCTGATAGTAGCTCTGGACTTAATACTCCACGAGAACTTGGAATGAGGAATGGCAACATCAATCTGGATCCTCCTTATCTGTCATCTATGAATAACGCCTCAGTTACTCCTAAACCAACACCAATTGCCTCAACAACAATCTATGAGGAGTGGTCGGCAGGTTCTGATCAGGGAATGAGTACTGATGACTCTAACAGTTCTCAGGACACGTTTCCACGAGAAAACTCCCAACTTGGTTCAGATAAAGAGATTGAAAAGCTCAAGAATGAGCTCCTTGCTTTGTCCAGGCAAGTGGATGTGTCAGATTTGGAGTTGCAGACTCTCAGAAAGCAAATTATAAAGGAGAGCAAAAGGGGACAGGATCTCTCACGGGAAGTTGTTATTTTGAAAGAAGAGAGAGATGCGCTCAAATTAGAGTGTGAGAAACTGAAGGCCTTTCAGAAGCGAATGGATGATGCAAAAGTTAAAAGCAGGCTGCAGTTTCAGAGTGGGGACCCCTGGTTTCTTGTTGAAGAAATCAGACAAGAGCTAAATTACGAGAAGGACCTGAATTCCAATCTTCGGTTACAACTACAGAAGACACAGGAATCAAATGCTGAGTTAATCCTAGCTGTACAAGACCTTGAAGAAATGTTGGATGCAAAGAATACGAAGGTAACCAATCCTCCCAACAAATCAGGATCCCATGGCGATGCTGAAGAATTGAGTGGAGCCATCTCAAGAAGTGACACAGATGAGGATGAAGAGCAGAGGGCATTGGAACAGCTTGTTAAAGAACACAGAGACACCAAGGAAACCTCTCTCCTGGAACGAAAAATCATGGACCTCTACAGTGAGATAGAGATCTATAAGAGAGATAAAGATGAGCTTGAGGTACATATGGAGCAGCTAGCACTTGATTATGAGATACTGAAGCAGGAAAATCACGACATGTCATACAAATTGGAGCAAAGCCAGCTGCAAGAACAACTGAAGATGCAGTATGAGTGCCCATCTTCTTTTGCTAACATAAATGAACTTGAGACCCAAATTGAGTTCTTGGAAAGCGAACTCGACAAGCAATCAAAAGAATTCTCTGACTCTTTAGTCACCATAAATGAACTAGAAACCCACGTCAAAAGCTTGGAGAAAGAGTTAGAGAAACAGGCACAACTATTTGAAATGGATCTAGAATCTATTACACGAGTCAAAATTGAACAGGAGCAAAGAGCTATCCGGGCTGAGGAAGCCTTGCGAATGACAAGATGGAAGAATGCAAATACAGCTGAAAGGCTACAGGAAGAATTTAAAAGGCTTTCCATGCAGATGGCCTCTATGTTTGATGCAAATGAGAAGGTGACTACAAAAGCTCTGACTGAAGCTAGTGAACTACGCTTGCTGAAAAATCAGCTGGAGGAACTGCTCAAAAAAGCTAAAGAAGAGTTCCAATCAGTTAGAGAGGATTACGAGGCAAAACTCCGTAACCTTTCCAATCTAGTAAATTTAAAATCAAATCAGATAGAACAGATGTTGAAGGAAATAGATGATATATCTAAGCAGCTTGAACATCAAAAGAAGCATGAGGAAGAAGTTAGTGGGGCTTTTTCCCAGGAGATCTGCAGCCTAAAAGCTGAGATTGACAAGCTGACTATGGAAAAGGAATGCCTCCGTGAACAAGCTGAAGAGGCAGAAAAATTCAGACTTGAGTTGGAACAGACAAAAGCATTTGCTAAAGAAACTGAAGTGCTGGTGCAAAGAGGAAATTTAGAAAGAAATGAGCTGGTAAGTGCAATTGCTTTGATGAAAAAGGAATCAGCTAAGTCACTGGACGAATTGCAAAGAATGAGGCATTTGAGGGATGAAAAAGAAGCTGCAGTTGAATCCTTCCAATCAGAGTTGAACACCCTCAAAAGTCAGTGCAATAAATTGAAACATTCTTTGTTCGAGGATGAAGTAGAGAAAGAAAAACTCAGGAAGCAAGTAGTTCAATTAAAGGGTGACCTTAAGAAGAAGGAAGATGCACTTACTGGCATGGAAAAGAAGCTGAAAGAGAGCAACGGAAGAGCAGCAGTTTCTGACGGAACAAGAACACCATTAAGAAACAATAAATCTGCCACGGTTCCTCGCATTCCTAAAGAGGTTGCAAGCCTGAGGGAGAAAATAAAGTTGCTCGAGGTAAATTTACACACATCCAAGTTCTATATAAAATCAAGTTCCTCTTTGAAACTGTTTGTTGGAAATGGTCTACAATCTCTGCTTTTCCAGTAACAGCAATATGGAGATTCATTATCATGCAGCAATTTTCATCCACAAAGGGAAATTTGTATTCATAACGATTTTTTTTCTCATGGCAGGGACAAATAAAGTTAAAGGAAACTGCCTTAGAAACATCCACAAATGTCTTTTTGGAAAAGGAAAAGGATCTTCAGAAGAAAATTGATGAGTTAGAAAGCAGAGTAGAAGAACTCAATGAGCATAGCACCAGTTTCTGCGCGTACCAACTTCAAAATGTGAGAGATATTATAACTTGATAAAAAAGAAAAAAAAAACAAAATTTAAGGGAAACTCTGTTGTATTAATGAACAATATTTTGTAGTGTCATTGCTGAAGTTATGCATTCTTCATGGCATCTAGAACTAATGATCTTGCTATATTATTAATTTATGACCGTATTCTTTGACCCTAACCATTGTTTGGTTATGGCTAGAATGGCTTAATGGAGTGTTACTTACAACTGTATTTCTTGCTTTGACTTATATTTTCTTTAAAATGGATAAAAAATGCAGATATTTAAAGATTCCAAGGAGGTTATATCAGATGGCGTGATATCCGATGGGAAAGCATGCATATCCAAAGAGAATGGAAATACGGTGCCTTCTGTGGAAAGGTAAGACTTGAAGAAATAGAACTTTAGTTTCTGAGTCAGTTTTTCAAACTTGCTAATTTTCTTCTTGGTAATAGTTGGTTGAGGAGAATAAAAATACTAAGAAGATTGTTGAAGAAACCCAAGAAAAGGGTAGGTAACTAATAATTACTTCCATTGATTTCTTATCTACAGCACTGATGACAATATGTCAGCGAAAGAAGAGAAAGCCTCTATTGTCAATAAAGACGGTAACCAGGGAGAATTGATAGCTGAACTGGCATCATTGAAGGAAAGAAACAAATCTATGGAAAACGAATTGAAGGATATGCAAGAGCGATATTCCGAGATAAGCCTCAAATTCGCAGAGGTCGAAGGTGAACGACAACAACTTGTGATGACTGTGCGTAACCTCAAGAATGCCAAGAAGAGCTGAAAGCATTGAAATTCTTCATATACAAAAATAGAATGTAAAGATGAAGTAACAGCTGGGTGTGCCCATACGGAAAATTTAGGTGTGACAGTTCCCTTTTAGAGTGAAAATAAATTAAGTTGTACAAAATTTTAGTACGGATATCACCTCACCAGGTAGTTTCCAAATGTAGGTAAGTTTTTTCTTTTATTATTCATGTTTGATTCTTGTCCTCCCCATAATTTTTCTTTTTTATTGTCGTGGTGACATTTTCCAGTAATATAATTATTTCATTTTTTGATAAAATTGTTGATAGAATTTAAGATTTGTTGTCTTAATTCAAGAACACGTTCACATCATTGGGTTTTTTTTGTATTTATCTTTCATTAGCCAGTACTTGTCTTTAAAATCTGGAAAGAGGTCTGCCAGACCCTGAATTGTTCTCAACCGAATCCTTTTTTGTCTTTGATATTGTGCCAACAGCTCAAATTGCGATGCCTGTCCTAGCAACCCGGTTTCAGTTTTTTGGATTTGTGGGAATTTTGAGTTTTTCGAGTAAGATCCTGGTGGTGGGTAATCATTTTTTTTATTATCTTCTGCAAATCACAAGTTTTCTGACAATGGGCAAATCTTTCAGATCTGAGTTTGGTTTCATTTCAGTTTGATTGGTTGTTGAATGTTGGGCCTCGGAGTATCCAAGCTGGGACAGGGAATTTTGGCAGATCAAACATAACCAACACTTGGACAAAAAAGGTGGGCTCGTCCGGTCCAGGAAAGCAATGTCGGGGCAATTTCAGATTTCAGTTTTCAGTTGTTGAGAAATCAAAAGTGGAAATATATAATGCATGTACTATGTACTGTATTTTGATAAGATAGGAGAACAATGATCTGATCTTTTTCATGCCATGGACAACAATAATAACTTGGACAAATTCTGACACTCACTCTATGTTACAAACATTGCCTTTGGGAAAACTATGGAGATTTTGTCTTTGTATACAACTCTTTAATTTTGTTTTTTTCTGTAGTTTTGGCATTCCCTGTATATAACTGAAGAATTGGGAACTGAAGTCAATTCAGGCAGTCAGAAATGGATTTTAGATTGGGTAGAGGAGAGCTGCTGACAATTCCTTACTAATGGTTTTTGAACCTGATACTTTTCAAACACTTGTTCACAATCTATGATGAATTAGTCCATAAACAGTGACCAAAGCCATGAGAAGACAATGATCTACATGTGGCTCAACTTCCGAGGTTAATACATCCTCTCCTAATAGAACCCCTGAAGATGACAGTTTCCTCTTTGCCTACACAAAAATCAAATTCAGAGCAAGCAAAACTTTGAGTAATAATAGAATTAAAAACAAAAATTTCAGGCCCAAAAAGACTCACCTCAGCAGCCACTTTTCCATTGTCATCTGTTATTTTAAAAGCTGATTTACCAGCTTCCAAGCCTTTTATTCTATAGCAGCTGCTTGCTTGGCCAATATTATCAAAACAAATCATGATTACTTGACAGGATAAATCTCCTTTAAGAATATTTCTCAAGTTTTTTCTTACTTGAAACTGCAGCTTCTCATCAGTATTCAGATTTAAATCATTACATCTATCGCCCACCCATCTTCTGAAAAACCATTGTTTCTGCAAAATGAATTGTAACTACTTAGAACATATTTGGGCTCCAATATTTCATTATAAGTTTCGAACAAACTTTCAAATACCTTTCTTAATATGGTGAAGAGAACTTTGCCTTGAAGATCCATGAGGTAAACTTCATTGCTGCATTTTTTATCATAATTATCAATTCGATAAACAATCTCACCATTTTCATTATAAACAGTGCATCCATTTCCTTGCATCACAAGGGATTTCATCCATACGGTGAATGTTTCTCTCCTTGAAGTGACATAAGAAGAAGAAGAAGAAGAAGAAGAGGAAGGAGGCGCAGTAGCAGCTGCAATATGATGAACCTTGATCATTTTGAGAAATAAAATAATTTTCTTTTCCATGCCAAAAAAGCACTATCTAGCTCTTTTTAAAAGATCGAAGGAACTCTAGTCAACGTGTTTAATAATACCATAGGAAAAAGTGCAAGAATGTGAAGCCCGAAGAATGAGAAAAAGGGCACTCAAATAATTGAATCGGCAGGTTCTATTAGTCCTTTAAACTTATCACGTTCATGTATAGGAAGAGATTCCATTTCCCCTTTTTAACCGTTTTTGACTGCCTCTATAACTATTAGATAAGCACTACGATAAAACAAGAATAATAAGAAGAAACAAATCCTAGAATACAGTTTAATATTGGGTAAATTTCATCCAGGTCCTTAGATTTTAACCTTAATTCAGCTCAAGTCCAAAATTATGAATTCATCTTGCCGTTAACCCACCGTTATTATGACCGTTAAAGACACCCATTTGACCAAAAACATCAAACGATTCTACCCTTCAGCAGCAATTAGCGTTGGGTTTCTATTTTTTAGAGAAATTCATTATGGAAAAAAAAAAAAAAAAGGAAATGTGAGAAATAAGTTGAAAATGAGAATATATATCTCTCTGTATGTTCTAAATATTGCATATAATGAATAAAGTAAATCTACAATTTATACAATACAAAACAACTTTCTTACCAACATATTGCTTGATTTGATTTGGAGATCATAATAATTAAGGCATTTTTTATGGTTGGAGCTTGATCTATATAGATATCAACAAATTGTACATATATATATAACTTGTTTTCTAAATTGTAGAAGACTAGTAATAAAATAAAAAAATTAATTGAAGAAAAAACCCGAAAAAACAAAATATTAAAGATGTTGTTCACACTAGTCAAAAAGCTTGATAAATCTAATATATATTATATAATAATATACATAAATAAATTTGCCACGTAGGCACTTATGTGGACAACTCTTTTAAATGATACATAGGATAATTTTTTTTAAAAATAAGATAGTGTCTTTTAATTACGAATTAGATAATCTTAATTTTATTCAAATATCAAATTATTCAAATTATAATTAAAAATCAAATCAATTTAGAGATATTTTTTAAAAAATTAAAAATATAAAATATGAATTTTATTTTTTAAAAAAATATTTTTAGTTGTTTACCGAATAACCTTATTTAAAAAATTATTTAATTATTAAAATCTTTGAAACATATTTAAAAATTACAAAGATTAAGTTTATCCAAATCTTTCAATAATCTTTTTCATCTTTATTTAAAAAATTTACATATGACATTAAAAATTCAAGTAACTTTATGTAGGATTTTGACAATTAAAAAAATTTTCATCTTAAAATTTTAAATCATAAGATCATCAAAACGATTATATCAATTTGAACTCTAATTATCAAATTTATATTTCAAATAAATACAAAAAATTAATTTTATCTTTATCACTTATTATATCCATTTTAAAATTTAAAAAAATGAATTTAAAAATTATCTATTTAATCTTAATTGTCACTAAAGAATTCTTCTACAAATTTAAAACTACAAATGTAATGTGTTATACATAATTTTTTATTTTTTCAGTAATTTTTAAAAATATATTGTATTACTATTACAATTTTTTTTTGTTTATAACTTTTTTTCAAGATATATTTTATTGTTATTATAGTTTCATTCTTATGAAAAATAATATTTTTTTAATTTATTTTTTCTTCTTTCACATATTTTCTAATATTTTTCATATTTTACATAATAATTTAGTTAAGATTACTAAAGTAAAAGTATGTTAATACTTTTTTATTATTTAATTTATCATTCAGTAATATATATTTTTATTTTTTTAAAAATACATAATTTATTTTTATTTGATATAATCTGACAAGTGTATAAATATTATTGTAAACAAAATATAAAAAAGAAAGACAATTTTTTTTTGTTGTTTTCATAAAGTTTATTTTTTAATGACAAGTTAATATATATAAATTTTATATGCTATGAATATTAAAGATTTTAATATAATTTTTTAAAAAAAAACAAATATATATTTATATTAAATAAATAAAATTATTTTATACATCGCACGAATTATAATCTAATTTTAATTATAAACAAATCCAATTAACGGTTGAAGTGTGAAAGAAACGATGGCCTTCAGTATGTGATTGCAGTTTGTAGCCTTATTTTTTTTTTTGGCCCTGCCACAATTCTACCTAAGTTCAAGGCTGGAGAGTCTGATTACTACACTAAATCCTACATCTACACATAATATAATATAGGGGCAACTGTATTTTTTTTTATACATAAAAGATCACAATTTAAAAATAAAAAAATATATTACAGATGTTAAAATTTAAATTTTATTAAATTTTATTTCTTAAGAATAACCGCATAATTCACATTTTTTCCTCACATTTTCACTTTATTGATCAATAAAATAGTCTAAATTCCTCGATCACAGACATCAGATGAGCATATAAATGTATACGGCTAGCTTTATCTGATCAGTGAATGAAAAATGAATTAGTTGTTTTTTGAATTTCTTTGCCTTAATTTTAATCCCTCCCAAGGCAACGACCAAAGCCAAGACATTTCTCATCGTATGAGGGGAAAATGTGAATTATTTTAACCAAAAAAAAAAAAAGAAAAAAAATCAGAAACCAAATTCAGATGACAGTGTTTTGATATGAATACAATGAAGTATGTCATCAGCTTGTTCAGAGTGGTTGTGCTTGATCATGTCTTAATAATTATTGATATATTTCTTGTATTGCACATTTTTTTTAATCTGTTGCATCAACCATGCATTATTTCCCCTTGATTCTTGGATATATTCTTGAAGATCATCAGTGATCCATTATATCTTGTTCTTTTTATATATTTATATACCTTATTATAATCTGAAATGTGAAATTTTAATAATTCTTCTTGATATTTTGTGTCAAAAACTTATTATAATCTGAAGGTCTATGTTCTAATTTATCATTCTTTTCTATACCTTCTCTTCCTATCTAATTATTTTCTTCTGTCAATTACAATGACATAACTAGCATTGGTTTTCCACCACAAGGAAATACCAATCCTGAAAAAAAAAAAAAATATATATATATATATATATATATATATAGAGAGAGAGAGAGAGAGAGATAAAAACTGAAATAAAAAAAATGAAATTATATGTAATAACTACACTTCTATATATATGGAAGAAGCCTTGTATATATGCTAGCTTCACTTGCTTAGTTGCTTTCTCATGCTGGGAATTATCTACAATCTCCTATTTATCAATCCATATACGGTAACGGGAGCAACGATCAGGGAATGATCAATATAGGGCTCTACCTCCAGAGTTAATACATCAACTCCCAACACCGTACCAGATGATAATTGCTTTTGCTTCACCTGCAATATTAACCCTTGAGAAGAAATATTAAAACTAATATAATAATTACTTATAACACAGTAATTTATATAGTTCTTGGTGTTTACCTCTGCTACAGTATCTCCATCTAAGTCTACTATCTTAAATCCCTTTTTCTTGTGACCTAAGCTAACTATCCCGTACTTGTTCAAGCCCACAGTAACTTGACAAGCCGAATCTCTCCGCAGAATGCTGCAGTATTTTTTAACTTGAAAGCATGGCTTTTCCTTCTTTGTGCCAGTAAAGCTCCCTTTATATCCATTCCAACATCCAAAAATTTGTAGTTTCTACAAAAACAGCCAAAGGAGAAAAAACCCAAATTTCAGTTAAGAGTCTTCTCTCTAAAAATTTAGCTATGGTCTAGTACCCTTTTTAGTATTGTAAACAGAATTTTGCCGCGCAGGCCCATCAGATGAACTTCACTGCTACCTTTGCTGTCATAATTTTCGACACGGTACAAAATGTCCCCTTTTGAATCAAAGACAGTGCAACCATTGGTGTGGCATACAAGAGATTTCATCCATATAGTGAATGTTTCTCTTCCTGCAGAACTCATATTGCAGGAGTCAGAAACTGGTGCCTCAGCGGCAGGATGAACCTTAGCCATCGAAATTTGAAGGGAAAGTCAGAAAGTTGAGGTAATTTGAAAATGAGAAAGGCCGGCCAGAGGCTATTTATATGCTCCTAGGAACCGAGCTGTTACTTAAATTATTACAAAAAAACAATGCAACGTAACGGTCATGGAGTTCCATAAAATAATTGGAAAAGAAAATATTAAGCTTCTCAGTCAACTTTAATATTGATCTTTTATGTAGTTAAGGCTCCAAAAGAGTACGTTTCTAAAACCATGTCAACATGTGGAAGGCCAGAAAGAGAATATATTTCTGCAGAGCTGATTAAATGCACGTTTTTCTGAACAAAATAGAGTAGTTTAATCACTCAGGAAAGATCAACTCTTTTGAGCCTATCTCTATATAAAAATTCTACTTGTAGTTCTAAAATTTTTCAGTATATTATTGATTAATATATTGGATTAGAGTTTGTTGATGTCATAAGGAAAAGGGACAGGAAAATATTTTTGTTTCAAGTTTCTATCTGTGGTCATATCCTTATCCGTTCAATGATGTTGCTTTATGCTTTTCTAATATTTCTGATGAGATGCAAGCAACCAAACTCTAAGATTATCTTTATATATAAACAAATAATAATAATAAACAATAAACTAATCTTCTACAAATGTTTTACCAAACAAATTACTGATTCATATTCCACTATAACATGGCAAGGTACTGTCATGTTGTTTTGAAATTCCTTGTGGGATTTCAGGAAAAAACAGAAGTTTATAAATAAATAATTATAGGTTGAGTTTGGAGATTAATTTTTTTTTAGTATTAGTAATTGGTTGATTGTTTTAGTTAAAGCTGTAGAATTTGAGTTTAGTCACCATTGACCATTGTGTAAGTTAAAGATGGATTTTATAAAACTCAAAAGCAATACTTTTATAATTTTTGAAGATCTATCATAATTAGTGAGCTTATCAAGTAACTCAGATTAACGAATTAAGTCAACAGACATAATTAAATAAAATATCATCACATTATTAAATTCAAGGGAAAATATGTAAATAAAAGAATAAAATAAATTGTATTCTCTACTCTCTAATACAATAACGCTATCAGCTGAAGACGTTCCATTATTTTATGTGTAAAAAACTTTAAAACTTTATCCTAAATTATAGTAATTTAAAATTACACATTCCATTAAAAAATCCAGCCTCCTTTTCCATTTTTTTTTTCAACTTCCGAGTAATTGTTTCTATAGGCTTTAATTTTGTCGTCTCAAAATAGCTAACTTAAATGTTGTACGAGTCCCACCTCGCCGCCTGAAATGGCTAATGCATGAAGCAGCTAAACCACAACAAATGGGCCTACTTAACCGGAAAGTTTCTTCAATTGGGCTTTAGACCTTTAATCATTAAGATGGCTACATCAGCAGTTCGGTACCTTTCTTACCTATCAACTAAACTTAGCCCAAAGTCTAATAATTGGCTCAATTTTATAGGATTTGATTAATTTAACGAAATTGCATTTTATATACCGTCCGCTGGAATTTAAACACATTAAAGATATTATTATATTTATCCATTGGGCATTAATTTAAATGGCATGCATGCTATTGAGATTCTGAAATTGTGGATTGAAGAGGATTTAAACACGTAATTGATATTTTCGAATAATTTCATTGACGAAATTTTTTAAAATAATCTTTTAATATTAATTCATTTTATGTGTGGGATTAGAGTTTTAGATTTGAGGTTTTCATAAACCCTAAAATGTAAAAATAAATCAAAGGTTAGATCAATTCTTATTAGGTACAAGATATCCCCGAATAATTTCTCAAAAATAGCCTTGCCTGTGAATTTCAATATATTCTGCTTCTTCTTCTTCTTTTTTTTTTTTTAATTCTTTTGTGCTGATGAGAAGCTTTGTCATGTCATGTATTCCAACAAGAATGTCACCTAAGGGAAATGGTTGATAGTGGCAATCACATTGTTCTCTTTATTTAATGCTTCTCTAAATAAATTGGGTTTCTTTATTGGCAGACCAAAAGTAAACTTCATTTGGTGTCAAAGTAGATGGAAAAAACGCATAACAATTTTATAAAAATAAAAAATAAAAACATGACACTGATTTATTTCTTAATATTTCCCAACTAGAAATCGATGTAGATGAACTTTATTAGCATATAGTTTTGTTAGATTTTTTTATACAAAAAAAGTCATAATACGAAGATATGAAAAAGATATTATAAATAATAAATAATAAATTTTAATTTTTAAATTTATTGAATATTACTTGATTGCACGAATCAATTGAATTAAATTTCGGATTAAAATCTTATTTAACTTTTATATTAACATAAAGTGACAGATTACAATGAACTATTTTTTGGGGTGATTAGTCAAAGCATTTTTTCCCCTTCTTTTTTTAGTATTCATTAGCTTGAAAGAATGAAATCTTTAAAAAGTTGATGATCAATTTAATGCTTCTTTTCTGAAACAATCAAACAAATGTTAGTGGAATTTCTAGCAATCCAATGGATTCCAGGCAATATAGCATCATTTAAAATTTGTTTCCCGAAATTTTGAACCGTATATTTGTATGATCAATTTCTATAAGCTGATGCCAAACATTTTGTCTGGAACTGAACTTTTGCAGCCTGGCTGACTAGGAAATTTAAACTAAGTTGGCTTATGATGATGAAATTCAATTTTATATTATGATTTGAATGTTTTCTATTGACAAGTTGTGAGCTTTCGAATAATCATTTTAATGTAATTGCGATGTATGATTAATGCTACCGTATTCAAGTTTTCTAGTTGCTACCGCAAGCTTAGTGGCCAAATAAGACTGCTCTAAGCGTCATCTCTGCACTTAGAGAAAGAAAATGGGGAAGCATGGGTTTTAGATTTATTAATGGTGAACAATATTGTCGTTGCATTCACCATACTGGCAAATGGGATTTTGCTATGCATTTCCCTGAAATGTAGGGACAAAATCTTGAGCTACTAAAATTTATTCTTTCACATACAAACATACAAGGACAAGATTTGACCTCTTTGAGTGTGGTCTATTCTGATGAGAAACTATTTCCAAATTGTTCATGGAATGAAACGCAAATCCTTGTTAGGCTGTGATTATCAAACTTCAGGCAAGGAAGAAAGGGCTTGACTCTCCAGAGTCCAAACTATCTTAACGCATGCGTGATACAAAATGTTACCTTCAGCCTCAGGTGAGACATTCAAATGTGACAGTCATTGATTTCCTACGGTTTTACAATTACTTCCATTTGTGAAGATGTTTGGACCGGAACCGTGTCGATCAATCGCCCACAGTTGAGTGACAGTAAATGCAAATATTAATGTAAATTGACTTGCAATTCACCACCATGGAAACAATCCAATGCTGCGGGGTTTTTTCCAATTTTCTGGCAGTTGACCTGAAAAGCTCTTTCCTCCTTTAATGAAATTGGTTTTAACTTTGAATTGCAGTGATTAAGTCCAAACAGTAAAATACTATTAGTATATGACAATACTTGTATGAATTTTTCAAAACGAAACCGAGCAGAAAAACAATGTGGATTCATGCAAATCCAAAGCTAATATAAATAATTGAGTACGTATAATTATATGCAGACACTGCAAACCTTAATTTCTATAGACATACAGAAAAAGGAACTAAATTTTGTCATTTCTTTTCATCTTTCTTTTCTTCCTTAGCTGGTCCAACAGTAACAATGTCTACTTTCCCTATTTTCTTCAGTTTTTTGGCTATTACAACCGTGTCCATCTCTCCAATGATAGTCAGCTTTTGCTCCTTTAAGTCCGCCGCAATTGAATCAACGCCTGTTCATCAAATTAATTCCCGATTACACTGACCAACTAGTAGAAATTAAGTACCTGTAGTACTAGTATCATATTGCAAGCCATGTTTCAGGAATAAAATTAGAACAAAAATAGTCTGCTGATTACCATAAATGTCGGCAACAGCCTCTATGGCTTTTTTCTTTGTCTTCTCATCATTCATGGTCATGATTTTCAACACTACCTTCTGCAATGCGGGATTAAAAATTAGTATTATATATCCTAGAAAAAAAAAATAATTACATTTCTGATGAGGACAAGGAAATGAAAGTACCTGAGTCATGTAGGATATTGATCAGGAATTCAGGATACAAGAAATGGATGCAACAGAAATAAGTTACAAGAGCTAGACCAGAACTCAGTTGAATAGGCCTTAAGAGGGGGAGGGTCCAGGGAAGTTGCACATTTTTATGTACAGCTACGACAATGGCTTAGATCAGCAAGAGCTATATATTATCAAAGTTGTTGCCCACTATGAATAATGAGCGCCCATTTTCTTTTGTTTTTTATGGATCCCATTCATTCAGTGATGAATGAATTAAAAACTTGCCACTTTTTCACGCACTGGCTTACGTTCAAAATCTGAGTTTACAAGCAACATCATTTTTTTTTTATTTTATAATTACTGCAGTGATATTCATATTCTACTCTATTTTGTTGCTGCTGAACTATTGTATGCTAATATCAAACTAATTATTGGAAATAATTCTCGTTAATTTATTGGCTCCTGCAGGTACCCTAAATCATTTTCTTATAGCACTTCAATCATCATTTTCTGGACAAATTCTCTTTGCTAGCTGTAACCTTATTTGCGGTCCAACCGACAACAATTGGAGTCATGATTGGAAGATTAGGTTACCCCATGAAACACTCAACTCCTAACAAAAAAAATCAGAGAATTAACAAGATTGCACTAATAAAACAAGTATTCTGCTGTCTTTTGCCGACTCTTTGGAGTCAGGAGCCAAATAATACACTAATTTAATACATTGAGCTCCAGAAGTTTTCAGACTGAATCGAGAAGTAGTAGAAGAAGAATGAAGTGTTTTTGCATTAATCTGAGTGGAAATGTTTATTCGTAGCAATTTTATTGAGATTTATCAGACTGCATTATATCTCTGCTGTGGACCCTGCAGACATTTCCTTTCCTCCCTTCTTACATTATAAAAGCTGGGCCACCCTGTGTCTTTCAATTGTTGACACATGACAGCATTAATCTTTCATCCACCTTAGCCTCGTCTATCCTTCAAGACCAACCTTTTGGCAACCAAATGCACTATGTCTTGAAGAGGCCTAGCTTCTTCATTTGCAAAGATTAATACTAGTAAATAGTGTTTGAGGTATTTACGGTGATTTTAGATTCGACAAAAATGACATCGTACAAAAATTATAAAAAAATACAATAGTATAATTTAAAATTTTAATAAAAATTATATTTAAATTTTAAAAAATATTTACAATAATTTTCACATCTCCCCGTTTACTTTCTGCCGTCTGGTATTGTCTACTGGAAGCCAATTATTATGATTGTAGCGGTCAATCTGTTACTCAGACCGTCCCTAGAAAATACCAATGCTTTTTACGGAGAGATGGGTTCTGGTCTCAGACTCTAAGTTATCTCCTGACGCAACTCTTTTGGCCATTAGCTAACCACGTATATCTCACCATTCTTTACTGCTCAAGAAATTTACTTGGAGCTTGTTCACTTGCCTTTCTCTTTGCCTTCATCAACAAGAAAATAGTGTAGTACTAAAAACAATAATTGGTGAGAGAAGCAGGCGTTATCAACCGGAGAATTGAAGCTGCATTTTTTAAAAAATTTTCAACAGTTTGGTGAAACAAGAATAAATGGAAGGATTCTGATGTAAAAGCTGCAATTCAGTGAAGAATTCATGTTGCACGGATCTGGGCTGGCTAGACATTTCTTGGAGATACCTCTTTGGCGACCTCCATTGAAAAGAAAACCTGTAACAACTGCAACTCTTCTCGTCTTAACTGTTTTTCTGGTGGCCGCCTTTACATCTTCCTTATGGATTGACACTGTAAGTACTGAAATTCCCACAATTACTTGAATCTTGCACTAACATCTTTCTATTGGCCGGATTGGCTGAAAACCAATTTTCAGAATCTTTATGGTAGATAGTGCAATTTTTAATTCATGTTTAGTTTAGTTGAGCCCTTTTTTTTTTTTTTTGCAGTCTAGGTTTTTTATTGAGAATTTAACAAACAAGACCATAATAATATCAGAAAAGCCGAAAATTCCCATAAAGAAAATTGAAATCCCACTCATCTGCACCAGCGAAAACCAGACACAAACCTGTCCAACAAATTACCCCAAGACATTCCAAACAGAAGACCTTGACCCTTCATCCAACCCTGTTTGCCCTGATTATTTTAGATGGATCCACGAAGATTTACTTCCCTGGAAAAGCTCAGGAATCACCAGGGACATGGTGGAAAGAGCTAATAGAACAGCAACATTTCGCCTGATAATCATTGGGGGCAAAGCCTACGTCGAAAACTACAGAAAAGCCATTCAGACAAGAGATGTTTTCACCATCTGGGGCATTCTGCAACTCCTCAGGAAGTACCCTGGAAGGCTACCAGACCTGGAAATCATGTTTGACACTGAAGATAGGCCGGTAATCAAATCAAGCGACTACCATGGACCGAATGCAACGGGCCCACCACCATTATTTCGGTACTGTGGAGATAAAGAAACGCTGGATATGGTTTTTCCTGATTGGTCCTTCTGGGGATGGTAATGCCTTCTTTTACAAATCGTCTCTGTCGTTTTTGCTGTTCATTTTACCCTGTTTTCTGTTTGAAATTTTTGTTGCTACATGCATGGTGAAATACAGAATTCACACTCGTCAGCTTTAGATGTAGCCAAACGGTATAAAAGCCTGGCCTTACAGTTTTGGCAGCATTTTGATTAATGGGTCCCCTGTTTCAATAACAAGTGACCTACCATTTTTAGGCATCTGATAAGACACTATTCGGAATGTTTTCGAAATTAACTAGCACTTAGCTGAGCCTGATTGATACTGCCTTTTCTTTTAAATTTAACACTATTATACCTAACTCAGCATATTGTACATGACACATCAATTACACACTCAATACATCATAACACCACACTTAATAAAATTTTCATCTCAGTTTAAATTAAACAAAAAAGTTCTCGGCTATATTTTATGCAATTGATTTGGCTTTGTTTAACTAACACCTTAATTTGTTAATTAAAAAATTAACAAAATGGATACCTTTTGTATTACCATCAAGGAATTTGTCTATACTATTTTTTTTCCAGATTTTATAGGATTTTTTTATATTTTAGATTGTCAAAATTAAATCTTGATCACTTGAATTAAAAATTAAATATTTTACCAACATATACTTTGATAGATTTTGTAGAATTGAAAGGCAATAAAAGCTCCCAGTTTTCATAAATCTCATCTGCCTATCAGAATTCGTAATCTAAAAACTGGAATTTTCATGTTTACAGTTCGGTGTCCATTTTGAAGACAAAATTTTGTTTCATTAACCAAAGGGTCCATGTTTTTTGTTTTTAGGGCAGAGATAAACATAAAACCATGGGACAGCATATTGAAAGATATTAAACAAGGAAATAATCAGAGCAAATGGATAGACAGGGAACCATACGCCTACTGGAAAGGAAACCCGTTTGTGGCTGACAACAGGCAGGACCTTCTTAAGTGCAATGTCTCTGATCAACAAGACTGGAATGCCCGCCTTTTTATCCAGGTAGAAAATGCTACTCTAATTGTTTGGCTCAACTTTATTAACCAGAGTGATGAGAAAGTTCATGTAATTTTCAGCATAAACCCTTTATCTTTTATTCAAGCAATTGTAAATTAAGAGGCCTAATTTGCAGGATTGGATCCTTGAAGGCCAGCAAGGTTTTAAACAATCGAATATAGCAGATCAATGCACATATAGGTATAATTCTGGAGCCAGAACAATATTGTTGTAAACTTTTAGTTATCAATTTGTAGGTTTGGGTGTTTAGCAAATTCATGATTTTTGTAGGTACAAGATCTACGTTGAAGGGTATGCATGGTCTGTTAGTGAGAAATACATTCTGGCCTGTGATTCTGTTACATTGATTGTACAGCCTCAGTTCTATGATTTCTTCATGAGAAGCATGCAGCCTGTGGAGCACTACTGGCCTGTAAGGAACGATGACAAGTGCAAATCCCTTAAGTTTGCCGTGGATTGGGGCAACAATCACAAAAAGAAGGTACCCATCTATATGTTAAATTATAGTCTTTATTTTTTTTAGATTATTTGCATTAATTCAACCTGAAAATGTAACTTCACAACAGAAAACCCAAAACCTAGACGTAGGTAAAATCTGACTATCAGAATAAAAAAGTTCAACTTTGAATTCTAAGTACTGAAGTAGGAGCTTAAAGAAGCTATAACATCAGTTGAAAGAACGATTTTGATCTTAAAGTTTGAAATGGTAGATTAATTTCAAACATTGGTATACATTCATATGGATTTGGCAGGCACAGGAAATTGGAAAAGCAGCCAGTAGCTTCATGCAAGAGCAGCTGAAAATGGACTACATTTATGATTATATGTACCATTTGTTAAATGAGTATGGTAAATTGTTGAAATTTGAGCCAAGAATACCTGAAGGAGCAGTGGAGTTGTGCTCAGAGGTTATGGCCTGTCATGCAGAAGGACTTGAAGGGCGAAAGAAGAAGTTCATGATGGAATCCTTGGTGAAAGGTCCTTCTATCACAAATCCATGCACCATCCCTCCTCCTTATGAACCTAAAGCTCTCGCAGCATTTGTTAGGAGAAAAATCAACTCAATAATGCAAGTGAAGAAATGGGAGAAAGGTTATTGGGAAAGTCTCAACAAGCAGTAGTGGATGCTTTTTTTTTTTTTTTTAGTTTCTTCATGCTATATCTAGACGACTCTATTTAGGTTAATGCCCAATTCTAAGACAACATGGGCCAAATTGGAGAGTACATACACATTTCAAAACTAATAAATGTATCCTTTCTTGTTTCCAATTTAATTCATGAGAAATGGATAAGGGAACAGCAAATCTCTTTATCTATATATAAGAGAGTATTTACTTCTGGATTTTTTTATTGGAGGTAACATTGGGTGAATTTGTAGGGTCAATTGAAGCTGAGACTGAGCCGAAACCCATCAATTAAAAAGGGGCCTTTTCTAGGGCAGGAAAGCGGTCCTCTTGAATAGTTGATAAATGAAAGGTCTTGGGCAAAAGGCAAAGGCTAGATAGGAGCTATTGGCCCATCAAAATTAAGAAAGTGAGGACCACAAGTCCACAACCGGGAAACTACAAGGCTCCACTCCCAACTTCCCAAATGTTACTCTTATCTTTTAGTACAAACTTTTGAATTTTCATGCCAACTTCAATAGTTTTCAGCATCACATCCAGGAGGCATTATCACAATTTTCTTACTCTGAATTTAATTTTGTTTAATTCCCACCTATGGCCTTAACTATTGAATATTCAAAACTTTTGAGCACCTTTGCTTCTATAATCAGTGAATTTCAGCAAAAAGAAAAGTAGGATTTTGAATTGGAAACTTCATGGTTCCAATACCTCTCTGTCACCAAATCCACCGAATCAAGACCTCATTGGTCATTGTCAGATTAATCAGTTTCTGTACGTATCTGGTAATTGGTATTTACTTGAAGTTTTGATGCAATCCGGTAAAAGCCCAAATTGCCCTATAAGACTGGCTTGGCTACATTCAAAAGCAATTCAAGCACAAGGATTCTTTTGTTCACCAAATTAGAGCCGAACAGTTGATAGTTCATCAATGCATTTGGATTAGGATGTGGTTAGTTCATCACCACCAATTCCACAAAGCCTAATAGAATTTGGGACCACTGCCAGGAATAGGATGTTGATAGTTCATCACTGCATTGTTCCAAAAGCGTAAACACGCCATCAAAGGGATTTCTCAGGGTCAAGAATGGAAGACATCGAATTGATCTGTTATCTGTCAGAATCGACAAAATAATAAAAATAAAACTCCCCAAGTGAATGCAATGATCCCCCCATCCCCAGGCCTCAGGGGCCCGGGCTATTGCTTCGTTGCTGTCACCGAAAAGCAAAAGCCCGGAATTTCTACAGGGTACAGACAGATGAATGTCGTTGTTTTACAATGAACATGAAACAAAGACCCTTCTTCCAATGGGGCTCCAATTATCAAATCAAACCAAGCTAGTAATTGAGAATTTCTTTTGTAAATGACGAAAAAATGGGAAAATTTTTCTTTGTGGTCCATGTTCCATAATCTAAGCTTTTGCCTGGTTTTCTCCCCTCTTATATGTTTCAAATTTCAATTAGCGCTACGTTTTCCTATGGTGAATCAATTTATAATTGGTCTTTGGCCATGTCTTTGTATGGGAATGTAAAGCAGATTCAAAATTAGAAAATCAGACAAGCTCGGTTGTTGAGAATATGGTACAATTGAGTCAATCAAATCAATATAATTATAAATTTAAATATTTAATTTATTATTCGAAATTCGATTTAAATTTAATTAAATTTTAATTTTTAAATTTAAATTTAATTTAAAATAAAAATTAATTTATTTAATTTCATTCAATTAAATTCATTTTCGACAAAAGCTGCCACTCTCAAATTCAAACACAACAAAATTTATGACTACGTTTCGTGTCTGTCAGGACCAGTTTGCGTATCCCATTTTTGTGTTCTTATGGAAATTTGGTCCAAATTATTTGGACAGAATCTTTTGAAGCTGAGAATTCAACTAGAAAAAGTCTTTACTAAAATTTTGAATTTTACTTAAAAAAATGAATTAACCCAATCAAGTAAATTTTTTTTTTTTTTAATTTTGAGGATACAGAAATGAACTAGACCTTCAATTAAAATCAAGACAAGATTACATAAACTAGTCGGGAGAGTAGATAGGCAAATCCTCCAGGCTCCAATAATAATTAACAATAGAATCCAGCCTAGCTAGAGAATAACCCAATGTAATTAGCCTCCCTAGTCCCTCTCAACATTTACCATGCCCAACAAAATGTCGGATGCCATAGCCATAACCAAAATCTTGCTTTCCTAGAGATTTTGTTCAATTTTGCTTACTTTTGCTTGGGTTTTTAGTTTCATTACCATATAGTAATAAGCGGGAACATGCTAGTTTCGAATAAACCAGGTATACCTTTTGACAATGCAACATTAACATTTCTTTTATCACAGGAACATCGTGAATGTGATAAAAGATTGTTTGGGTTCGAAATTTTAGACTTACATGTCTTGACAATGGTTGTCATATCACCATATGAAGTAATAAAAGGTCATTAACTCATTTTTATAGGATTGACAAATGCATAAGGTTATCAGTCCACGATCATTAGAAAAAGTAACATTAGGTTTGTGGCAGTGTTAGATGTTAATTTCTTTGCTAACACTCAATTGTGTCGGTGGGACAAAGTGCCACTAATCACAGTCCTAGTCATGAACAAGTCTTGATACCTAGATTTTGTATTTCGTAGCGTAACATGGATTCAAGAACCAATTATAACACAAACTTGAGCTAGAGATTATGAAAAAAAATAATTAAATCCAAAATTTTAATTTGCTTTTTTTTTTTTATAAAAGATATCGAGATATAAAAATTAAAATATTAAAAATATTAAAATTTTAATTTTAAATTTGTTGAATACTATTTTTTTAAAATAATTATATAAACCAACTAAATTAAATTTTGAATTCTTTTTTTTTTGTTATTTATAATTTCAACAAATTCAAAAACTGTATAAACGTTAACTTAGCCAAAAGGCCATACCCAAAAGATTATTTTAAGATTCAAATTGATGGAAACAATTTTACAAGTAGCTACCAAAATTTACTAAGAAGAAAGAACCCCACCAAATCACGAGGGGGTCTTGCTTTTAAAGCGTTTAACCAAACTTTGAAAGTTCTTGCTCTCGAATCCACTTAGATGGTGAAGTGGATTAGACAGACTGCTTATCTAATCCCAGAGTGTCAAGCCAGTGGAAAACAGATTAGGCTTAATAATCTAAATTTTTTGCTGCTTTTTGAGTTTCTCAATTATGCACCACTTTATTATTGTCGGAAGCATCAATGGAAATAGAAATGCTTTGATCCGTAAATTTAAGTTCTTTATTCTTAAAAGAGTCTCAAACAGAATCTGAGATTATATTTATAATTATTTTGTTTATAAGACTTATTTTTCGAACTTTTCGAATGTGTTGATTTTTTAAATTTAAATAAGATTCAGAGATATTAATTTTAACGTAATGAATTATTTTTTGAAAATTTTAATTAGTAAAATCATTTATATTTATAGCAATATTTACTGTTATAATTCACTAACTATACCAAAAGTATAATTTTAGGAAAATGGCGAAAAAAAAAAAGTAGCAAGTATTTAACAACTTGACCTATAGAAGTCCACGATTACGTGTTAGCATGAAAAGTCCATTAACTTGAGCTTGAATCATTCACATAATACCAAAAAAAAAAAAAAGTGCAATTCTGATGAGGTGCCGGCCTGCTAGGGGAAACTAATTAAAGGCAGAAACCTAACAAAGAGTACTTAAAAAATAATAATAATAAAGCGTTCATTTTTCTCTTTCTTTTCTATCCTTGTTTTTACGTTATAAATTCATGCCGAAAGTTTGGTAAATGGAAAAACATTGAGGGCCCTTGCCGTATAAGCACATGCAAGGTTGAGAGATTTTGATTGGCAAGCGAGAAAGCCTGGGAGGAACAGGGCGGGACCCCAATTCCATTCAATAAAGCAAAACATAAAAAACCTCTATCAGTTTCTACAATCCAGGCTCCACAGAATTTGTCTTATGCTTCACATTTGACTGATTTTTTTATAATGAGATAATTATCTGAATTTATTATTTTTTTACTATTTAAAAAAAATATTCTCTTCTATTAATATGTTATATTTAAATTTTTATTTTTAAAATATATATTCTTTAAAACAAATTCTGATTGATAAAAAAAAATTTACTTTTTTTTTACTTTGATAAAACAAAAAATCTGGGTTAAAGGGCAGCACATGACTGTGAAATCTGAAATTGAAAATCATGAGGCTCCCCATTTCCCCCACCTTTCCCTTTAAAACTACTCAACCTTTTAGAGTCTTTAGCTTGGAAGCATTGTTGTGAGGACCCTTCAAGCTTAAACAACCTCCATGTCTTGTGTCACCCTTTTGGATTCATACAAAAGGATTAAGCATGCCATGCCAAACCAGAAAAAGGCAACTTCGGTCTCCATAATAATTTTAAAAAAAAAATTCCTAAACTTAATAATTTTAAATGGTCCACATACATCAAAACGTGTCACTTTAATCATGTGCATTTATCATTTTTATGTTTGCTCAATCCATGAGACCATTCCATTCCATATATATACATTTATTTAGTTCTGGTCATATTTTAATCATTTATTCATACAAATCCTTGTTGGATTTTGGTCATTGCTTTTCATTCTTACTTTTAAAGATAAATTAAGATGGGAGTGGTTGTGTGTCCGTGTCTTTGAATTTGTTCCACAGCCTACATTGCTTGCCTGTTGAATCTCATGGCTGACAACTGTAAAAATCCGTGACATGTTTTGGCTTTTGAAGCTTTATCAAAAGAGAAGCTTTTAAGTTCAACTAAACAAGAAAAAAAAATCAGAAGGATGGCTACTTAGATACGAAGTTTTAGTCAAAATTTAGGTAAATAAAACCCTTGATTGCCTTTCTTTTATTGTACAATAATTTCATTATCTATAAAAATTAAAAAAATATTTTTTACAAAAATCAAATCTTTGATTAATAAATAAAAAAATCTCATATTTTCTAATATATTTATTAACAATTGATATATAACCAAACTTAACTTTTTTTTCCTAATTACAAGTAACTAGATCCTAGAGATAAAAGATTTTTTCAACACTGATGTTTTTGTCCCAAATTCAAGGGCATTTTAGTCTTTGGGGTAAGAAGGCAGACCGCGTTATTTTGAGTCTCAACTAGTCAACCTTGATTTGTAATCACAGCTGTCTTTGCTTCCTAGACGTTTAAGATATCGTGATATTAATTCTTGACGATAAATAAAAGTAGTATCATTCCGTGAGATGATAGTTAGGAGTGAGGTGATTTTGTTGTTGGGCTAGGAACGCCACGCGCACATGCACATGATCGCTGGCGCAATTTCCGGAGGGGCCCTTGGGCCTTTGCTTTTGCTTAATCATTATCGATTGTCACCGATGGCCGGGGGATTTAATAAAAGCACGAAGCCTAACGTGGGAGATTTTGTATTTTGTATTTATTTATAAAAACACTTTTTCCACAAAGATTTTGGTAACATATTGTATAATGCAAATAAATTAATCATAGATTCCCAATTTGAAATTTGCTTTCTTGATAAAAAGAGAAGAATTTGTCCTAAAATTTAATATTTTAATATTTCAATGTAATTATTTGATTAATTTGTCAGTTCAAGAGGATTACCTTAAACGATAAAAAATTAATCAAAATATCTTAATTTAAGTTTTAATTTGTGTAAACTCAAATGTAGATAAATAATTTAAGAGGAAGATGGATTGGATTAATTTCAAATTATTTCAAAATTAAATTTTAATAAATGTAAGTGACAAATAAATATAAAATATATAATTTAAGCACAATATACATAAATAAAAAATGAAATAAAAAGTTTAAACACCGTAATTTATAAAAGTTTAATTCTTCTTCAAAGCACTTTCATTCTTTATTTTTGGCTTCTTTTGTTAAAAAAAAAAAATTCAATCCATTAAATTTTTTAATTTTATAATATCTTAATATAATATTTTCCACTCTCACAAACAAACTTTATAAATCTAACCCAACCTTATAAACTTTCTAATATATCTAATATTTTATAATATATATTCGATAATCATACTTTATCTGATAATTATATACCTTATAAAATTGTATATTTTGTCATGTACATTTTTCCAATTCCAATTGGGGACGACAAATATTACCAAGGTACATCATGAGATTATACAAACATAAAATCAAACGGCTCAAAATACTCCACGTAATTTGTCAAAACTTGCACGTCTATTCAAGAAGTGTCAACGGTGATTTGGGTTGTTGCCCACGGTTTTAAACTGCTGCAGCATACACATTAGAAGACCCTTACCGAGATTTAAGATCATTATCTCACGATATTTATACACTCAAATCAATTTTGCCCCCTCTCAATGCAATCATTAGCAGTAATTCACTGGCAGTAACGAAATTAGTAAAACCTAATTATAAAAAAGTCCCCAAAGAATAAATTAATTTACAAAACTGCCATTTCACTTGTAATTAAACAAGGATAGAAAAACAACGTTCTCTGTTATCTCCATTTCCCTATTTTCACTACTAAACCAAAAAGAAAAAAAACAATCTTTGTCTTTTTTACTCTAGGCTTCATAATTTTTTTACTTCTTTGTTTTCTCTACTCTTTTTTTTTTTTTTTGGGTTTTTGCAAGTGATTTGCTTTATTGGGTAATTGCAAAAACTTGGATTTAAACCCAGTAGTTTTGTATTACTAGCAACTTTATCTCTTCATATTATTTTTGTTTTTGCTTTCTTTCATTTTTGCACTTTCAGTTGACAATTACAAAGGAACCCCATTTCAGCAGATTAGTGTACCAAAGCTTTGCACTTTGCCTTAGTTTCAGTCTCTAGATAAACCCCATATCTGCTCCTTAGTTGGCTTCTTTCTTTCTTTCTTTCTTTTTTTTTTTTACTCTCTATCTTCTTCATTTTTGGGTTGATGAATTCTATTTGCGGGTGATAAAAGAGAGTAGAAAATTACAGGGGAAAAAATGAGATCATACATTTATTTCTTGCTTCGGTTTCTTGCCTATGGAGTATCTTTTGTGACTTGTGTTTCTTTCCCTACTAATGAAGGTAATGAGCCTTTTTTTGTCTTTACCTTTTTGGTCTTTTTTGCAGATCTTGATTGGTTTCTGGGAAAATGTGGGTAGGGACAAGGGCTTTAAACTAGCAATCGTGTTACATGGTGTTTTAGTTCAGTTGTTTTAGATTTATGCTCTTGATTTAGCGGATACTTATAATTCTAGTTTCAATAGTATCAATGTTTCTTACTGAGTTGGGAACTTTGGTTTTGTGCAGTTTGGGCTCTTACAACATTTAAGGAAGCTATATATGAAGACCCGCATCTGGTTTTGTCAAACTGGAATGCTTTAGATGCTGATCCATGTGAGTGGTCTGGGATTATTTGTAATGTGGAGAGACAACATGTTATAAAGATGTAAGCATGATCCAACAACTTTTCCGAGTTCTCTAATCAGTTTTCATTCCATTAAATGGTAGATATCTGCAAAATTGATGCATTTACAGAGTAGTCATGTCTCTCCATGTGTTGCAGAAACATATCTGGTTCATCTTTGAAGGGATTTCTTGCACCGGAAATGGGCCAAATTACCTACTTGCAAGAACTGTATGTTCTCGTATTCTTAATTGTTCAAAATGATGGTCTTGGTTCAACTTTTATCCTCTTAGCATGCAACAGTTGACGCATGGTTTCATGTGTTTTGTAGAACTTTACGGGAGAACAATTTAATAGGGATAATACCTAAAGAACTGGGCATGTTGAAATTCCTCAAAGTTTTGGATTTGGGGATGAATCAACTGACGGGTCCTATTCCTTCAGAGCTAGGGAATTTAACCAGTGTGATGAAGATGTAACCCAAACTCTTTGTTTCCTAAATTGAGGAAGTGATTTTTTTTTTTTTGTTATTTATGCCTTTTTTCTTATTTTGCTTTCTTTTGTTATCACAGAAACCTTCAGTCAAATGGGTTGACCGGGAGCTTGCCTGCTGAGTTTGGCAATTTAAAATATCTTCAGGAACTTCACCTTGATAGAAATAAACTTCAAGGAACTGTTCCTGCTGATAGCAATTCAGCTTTTACAGCTCAGATACATGGAATGTAAGTAGAATATTGTGACAATGGAATTAAATTCTGTTAAGCTCTGGAGAACAAGTCTATTTGACGAACTTCTCATTGGGAAATATGCCCTGTATATCTTCTTAATGAATACCTCTAGTTTCTATATATACAATGCTGGTAGAAAACAGTAATATATTTGTAAGTTTTAAGCATCATCTGATAGCAAATTTAGTTTGAATGCTGTCTTGGATACGATGATTATGATGGAAAGGGGATAGTCAACAAACAAGCTGGTAGCAGTTGCTACCCCGTAATGCATGAAAGTTGACTATACTTACGTGCAGAGGATGAATAACCTTTTTTTAACCCATAAAGCTGGTATTTTAGTTGGGAGTAAAATATCTTGGTATGAGATCATAGAAGTTGAAAATATTGCAGGCTTCTTCTCTAGAAATTTAGCCCTGAGGTTAAATCATGTTAGTATTTTAAAGTTGATCTCTAATAATTCTTTTCACTTCAGGTATGCCTCACGTTCAAACTTAACTGGACTTTGTCGCTTGTCTCAGTTAAAGGTGGTAGATTTCTCCTACAATTTTTTGGTTGGAAGCATACCTAAGTGTTTGGAATATCTTCCGAGGTAAACTTTATTTCCCTGTGTTATAGATCCATGCTGTCTTCTTTCTATCCCAGTTGCTCATGTTTTCTCATATTGTCAATGCAGCACAAGCTTTCAAGGGAACTGCCTTCAGGTCAAAGATGTTAAACAGCGTCCCACCACACAATGCAGTACGTATTACATAATCTTCCCTTTGGCTGGTGTGGATGAATATTTGAAGAAAAATATATGTCAGCTAAGTCCAAGTGATTTTTGGGATGACATCTTGAAGTGCACATGCTTCATTTGGTCCTAATCTAATTGTTGGACCAAAATTTAAGCACCTGCCTTCCATAATTGAATTTAATATAATCGTTAAGTTGCATGTGTAACTTGAAATTTCATGAACGTATTTTCTTATTACACTTACCAATGCTAGCTGATGGTCTTATGAGCATTAAAATAATTCAATATTTATCATTACACTTTCATCAAAAAAGTATTATATATATTCATGATTACACAGTTGACAGTGATAATATTCCTTTCTTAGGTGCAATGCCATCCAGAAGACACCAACCACGCAGCCCTAAGCATTGGCCTGCTGCAGACATTGTTAAGCATCAGAAAACACCAAAACCTGCTTGGCTTTTAGTTCTTGAAATAGTGACAGGCATCCTGTTGGGATCTCTCTTTCTTGTTGCCTTCCTCACTGCTTTACAAAGATGCAACAAGAAGTCTGCAATCATAATACCTTGGAAGAAATCAGGGAGCGAGAAGGAACATGTGGCAGTATACATTGGTTAGTTTGCTACATATTGCATTAACTAATGCTCCTCAAATTAACTTTATTGGTGTATTCTTTGAAGTAACATCAATCAACATTGTGATTTTGTTCAGATTCTGAGTTGTTGAAGGACGTGACTAAATACAGCAGACCAGAGCTTGAAGTAGCTTGTGAAGACTTCAGCAACATTATTGGTTCCTCTCCAGACAGTTTGGTCTACAAAGGCACCATGAAGGGTGGGCCTGAAATTGCTGTGATATCCCTCTGCATTAAAGAGGAGCAGTGGACAGGCTATCTTGAGCTCTATTTCCAGAGAGAGGTACTTGTTATTAGATTAACAGTTTGACGAAAAGATTAATTTGTTGAAAGATGTGAAGCAGCTTTAAAATGTAAGAATTAACAACTTGGAATAATCTGGTTCTAAGTTTTCTGTTAAATTGCTATTCAGGTGGCAGATTTGGCAAGATTGAATCATGAGAATATGGGGAAATTACTAGGTTACTGTAGAGAGAGCACTCCATTTACAAGGATGCTTGTTTTTCAATATGCATCAAATGGAACGCTATATGAGCATTTGCATTGTAAGCATACTCACTCTCTCTTGCTTGCTCTTGTATACATTGATAACCCTTTTTTGTTAGCTTTTACCTGAGTAATCAATTAATGCAGATGGAGAAGGATCCCAATTATCTTGGACGAGGCGTATGAGAATTATTCTTGGCATTGCTCGAGGACTCAATTATCTTCATACTGATCTTGAGCCACCATTCACTATATCAGAGTTAAACTCTAGTGCTGTGTATCTTACAGAGGATTTTTCCCCCAAGGTATCTCCTCACTTCTTGCCCTTGCATGTATGAGCATCTAATATTTTCTTCATGATCAGGGGATACTTGAGTTATGGTCATTTCTACCTTATATAAAACAAAAGTATACTGCAGCGTGATAAAATTCTATTGTTGTGCCCAAAATAATGGGGGTTATGAATAATGGGGTCAGTCCTGGTATCTTGAGGGTTGAATCATAAACTTGAGAAATTTTGCCTGGGTGGCTGCAATTTTGAAATTTAGCTGAGAACCTTCTGATTTAGACATTATCTGGTGATGCAGTTGGTTGATTTTGAAAGTTGGAAGACCATTCTTGCTAGATCAGAAAAGAACTCTGGCTCTATCGGCAACAATGGTGCCATATGTCTACTTCCTAATTCTGTGGAGAAACGTCATCTGGATATCCAGGGAAATATTCATGCCTTTGGCATACTTCTGCTGGAGATTATTAGTGGGAGGCCTCCATTCTGCAAGTACAGAGGGAGCTTGGTAGATTGGGTAAGCAACCTTTCTGAATGCCTATTTTTCAAGGAAATGTTGTGTTGTACTCTTGTAAACAAACATGCTTAGCTTGATATCCGGAACACTTAAGTTGCTCCATGCATTACAGGCCAAGGACTATCTTGAATTACCAGAAGTAATGTCTTACATTGTGGACCCAGAGCTAAAACATTTCAGCTATGATGACCTCAAAGTTATCTGTGAAGTTATAAGCCTTTGCATCAATCCAGACTTTTCTAAACGGCCATCCATGCAGGAAGTAAGCCTCATGTTGGAGAGCAGAATTGACACATCGGTATCCGTTGAGCTCAAGTCATCTTCTTTGGCATGGGCTGAACTTGCTCTTTCCTCGTGAATGAGTTGAAGCTAACACACTGTACATCAAATACATACAGTTTTACCCTTTTTCTTCTATTCGATCTTTTTGGTCTTTGTAAATGCTGCATTTGGCTTCATCTATACTGAAAATCCACTTGCATTTTATACCATTGGATGTTCAAAAAATTTTCTGAAATCATAGAATAGCTGACTAGCTCTTTTTCCTTGGGTCATGTACAACCAGTTTCACTATGTATGTAAATTATGTTTATGTTGTCTCAACGTCCACAATGAAATTATTGGTCGTCTGCTTTGTACATTATTGGGAGCTTGCTTCTTGTAATCTTAGAAAATTATTACAGCTAATACCCTAATAGAACTGTCGTGGCCTATTCTGTTCAGTTGTCAGTCTTTCTCCTTTTCAGCTTAAAGTATTAGAACAAAATATTTTGAGACATTCATTTTTCTGTCAAATGGAATTAAAAGGAATCTGTTTAGCTGTTATTAATGATTTAATCAAATTTAAGATATCATTTAATTGAAGTTTTTACCAGGCAAAGTGTGCTCTATGTTGAGCTGGACAGGACAAAAGGGTTGAAAATGTGCTGCCGCACTTGATGTTCTCTTTGTTGCAGATAAACCTCGTTTGGTAAAGAAAGATGAAAATGATGACGCGGAAGTTCTCTCATCTCATGATCAAGATTTATCAATACAGCTTTAGTGATTAGACATTTCCTAAATTCCCTACCACGCAAAGCCAATGATCGATGCAAATAAAACCCTGCGGTAAGTAAAAGCAATGCGATGGTTTTAGCAAGAAATTTCAGGCTACAAATGGCTCAATTTATCCTAGATCAACCTGCTCGGAATGAAGGTCTTTTCCATCAGGCACATGGCTGCAAAACTCAACCTGCTAGTGCTTTGATACATTTCCAATATAGAAATTTACGCAAATGAAAGAACTTTAAATGCAGTTGCCAATACATGAAATATAGAAACATTGATAATTTCAAATGTAGTTAGAATAAAATCTCTCTCCAAAATTGAGCTTATTTCAAGGCAAAAAATACATAGCACACTAGTTGAAAAATCATTACATCTGAGTGAAACAAAGCATATGCACAAAGGAACTGGTGGATATCAAAAAACTCGCTTTTGTTATCTAATTCTCGAGTTAAGATATAAATTAAAAAAAAAAAATCCTATGAAGTTTGCTCTTAGATCGGAAGTAATGATTGTCATTTGGATTCCTATTTACACTAAATACCGCTAATGCTTTTCTTATGGGAGGCTGAAAAGGTCCTCTCTTACCAGTATGGTGAGTAAAGGTGTCCCCAGCCATGAAGAGTTCATCATCCCCCTATATGAAATAGAACACATCCCTCGGCTTCAAATTAAAAGAATGAATTTAGTTTAGAGAGTAACAGTAACAAGAAAAGAAACCTGGAAAAACACATGCAACAAATACATAGGTGCAGAAACAAATTGAAAATCACCAAAGATTTATTAAAGCAAAAAAGGAGTGGCCATACAAACCTGTTTATTTACTTTCTTTTTTGTTTTGGGATAAAGGAACTTTTGGGAAAGTTGATCTTCACGCAAAATGAGGCTTTTGGTTATGGCATCCCTTCCTCCTTGGGGTAAAGGCGGTGACAACTGCATACAGCATTGAAGTCATACATTGATATTCACTCTAAAGCATATCATATTCAGCGACACAGACCGGATTTCAAGTTAGGGGGGCCAAACTAAAATAATTAATGCAACATAGAAAATTTGTTTTAATGTATATTTTGTATATTGTATGTTATTATCTTATGAAAAATTATAAAAAGTCATACTTGAAATATATATAGCTAACATACATAAAAGAAAAAAATATTAAGTATTGAAATGAAAAAGAAAACAACTACTAAAAAGGGAAGAAAGTAACAATCCTCTATCAAGTTGCTCGTGTAAATGAACTTACCTTTGTACCATGCAAAGTAATTCTTCGGCGATGGGATGCCAAAACAATTCCATTCTCACCAACAGCAACAGCTACCCTACGTAAAGTTCCTCCATTTCCACACTTGGGACAGAAAATTCTTCCAATTTCAGCAGTCACAGTATAGCAGGCATGACATTTCAATATCCATCTACATAGAGAAAAATCAAAGACAAGCATAAGAATCACTTAATTTTGATACGTCATTAATCACCAAGGTTTTAAGAGAAAAAGGCTTTAATAAATTCAAATGATGGTTGAAATTTGAAGAGGTAACTGACAATCAAGATTACTTATATATGTCTTAATTATATACCTTTGCAGTTGCCGAATCTGCATTCCTCCAGTTGCTAGTAATCGTAAACCCATCAGCAGAAGAACATTTTGCATGGCAAAGTCACCAGTAACACAAGCTACACTGGACTCCGATAAGGATCTCAACATCCAGCTTTGCTCACAGCTAAGATCATCTGCATATGATGAATCAACAGTTTCATTGGTCTGACTTGATATCTCCAACTGGTCTAATTCTTCATTTTCCAGAACCACATTATCTCCTGCAACAGCAAGGTTCACATTGTCATCTGTCACAGCTTCCTCCACTGTGGTCTCTATTTGTTTTGCATCTTGAAGAGTCCTCAGTGAATCTTCTTCCAGCCTCATTTGTTTTAGGATTGAAGAAAGATCTTCATCACCTTTATTTTCTTCTGCTCGCTCAGCCTCCTCAGAAATCCCATTTCCAGAATGAGCTTCCTCAGCATTTTGTTGCAACAGCTCATCAGGACCACCTGTGTCCTCAAGATTGTTCTTATCCATACTTTTCTCCACTAATGTCTCATAGTATTCCCGCCTAGCTTTCCTGCTAAGATATCTCCTATGAGTACTTCGACTTACAGCCAGTTGCCAATCATCACTGTTTTCATCAAACTGTCCCTGAGATGCATCAATCCTATCAGCCACCATCTTTTTCCCTTCGATTTTTGCCTCTTTCTTCTGGGGTAAATATCACCTAGGCCTCCTAAAACCTGGTTCAACATCCTCTTGATTCTCAGAATTTGTTTCACCCTTCATTTCCACCAAGCCATCTTCCAAACAGTTATCTGAAGGGACAATGTTCATATTTAAGTCTTTCAAGGGAAGAATTCTCGAGTTAGAATTGGATCCATCACCAGCTTCTTGTTCCAAAGCTTCCCACTCTTCCAAATTAGCAACATTAGAACCCCATCCAGGCAAGTCCCTTTCCGGCGGCCTCTTTACATTAACAACATGAACAGGGGGAGGAACATCCCTAAGATGATTAGTTCCATGAATTTGAGACTCCAATGTATATGTCAGGGCATTCAGTTTGAGATCAACATCCGAAAGAGTCTGCAAGTCACCAGTTGCCCTTGCAAATTTGATAGTTAAAAGTTCAAATAAAACATTCAATTAACAATGATGTAAGAATCCATGTTACATTTTAATCATTTGTTTGTTTTTAACCAATTACGATTTTACTTTTGCCTTATAACAACTTTTTAAGAAGCAAAAAAACAAATAGTAATGAAAATTACAAGCAAAGGGAGCCTTAAATATATAAAAAAAAAGTTAATTTTGTTGCGCTAAAAGCCTCCAATGCAATCACACCAGTGGAAGCGAAATCAAACAATAAATCAAACACACAAGAGACAACAATTTAACGTGATTCAGTCAAACTGACCTACATCCACGGATGAGAAATAAGATCCACTAGTTGTAGAAAATTACAAACATACATCAAATCATCAACCTCACTCAACAATCAATACTCATAAGACACTCTCAATCTCTTCTAGTCCTATAGAGTATTCTCAACCCAAACAAACACAAACCCAAACTCTTGTGCACTCTTTCAACATAACCAAACACATACCCATATGCTCCCATACATCATACCTATGTGGACCCTCTCAATCTCCTCTAGTCCACTCACAAACAAACATACACACCCAAACCCTTGTGCACTCTTTCAACATAACCAAACTACCCATATGCTCCCATACATCATAACTATGTGGACCTTCTCAATCTCCTCTAGTCCACTCACAAACAAACATACACACATACACACTCATAAGACGTACGTACATGGGTATCTATCCCACAAAACCTTATAACTCTCTTACATCTTTTTCTCATACCTAACCCTGTAGAAACTTCACTTATTTATAACCATACAAACTTGTCCATTAAGAATCCCTTTCCTTTTAGAATTCTTCTCTTGCAAGTCAAATTTACCTATTAAAAATCTTCTTTCTCTTGAAATTTTTCTTTTGCAAGTCTTCTTGTCCATCAAGCAATATCTGATAAATCTCAAACAAATCTCTTATGAGATTTGAGTCAATATTCCCAACAAAATTTTCTAAGTAAAATATTATCAATTTAAAAAGAACGAAAATTGAAATATATTTGTAAATTTTATTTTTGAAATACTTTCGTAAAATTCAAATCCTAATTGAGAGTGAATTGAGATATTTTCATTACAATTAATAAATCTTGCATTTTTTAATCTCTCATCGTTCTTATAGGTAATACTAAGCCAACCTAGAAAACTGATTGGTTGAGACAAGGAAAAAGGATTAAAAAGACAAAATTTGCTATAAGTAGTTGATTAAGAGTGCTGTTAAATACACTCTTATTTTTTCTCTTCACATCTCAAATATTTTTTAATTTTTTTTTTGTAAATAAATTTAATTAATTATCTTTCTCATAATTTTATAAAATTTTATAATTTTTCAAAAATAAATTTTCATAATTTTTTGAAAATAAATTTTCGAAAACCATAAACCTTTCCAGAAATTTAATTTTTCAAAAAGATTTATCTAAAAAATTATATGACATTTCAAAAATTTTATTTTTGATTATAGATTTTTGAAAATCTATTTTTGAAAATTTATGTGAAAAATAAAATATGATTAAGTAATTTCACTTTAAAAAATTAAAAAAAAAAAAAGAGATGTAAAGAGAAAATATTAAAATGCATTTTGCAGCACTCTGAATTAAAATTCCACTAAGCATAAAGAGAGAAGATACATGAGATGAGCAAAAAGAAAGAAAGAAGGATCCAATTTCTTCAAACAAAAAACAATTACACAATATCACCTCAAGGGTTAGAGAAAAATATTGAAAAATGAGATATAAAAATGGTGATCCCTACTCTTAATTCAACCTTTCAACAACATCTCTTTATAATTATAATGAAAACCAAACCTAGTTCTTCTCAACCTGAAGAATCTGTTTCAACTACCTCAGCCGACCCACTTTCCTGACATGACTGCCAACATTTTTTCTCAGTTTAGAGAATTGGTAACAGTGTATAGTTCAATATTACTTCAGTTCTGAACTACTAATAAATTGATGATTATGGCAACTTAAAAATATTCAAGGCCCCCAAAGCATGGTTTTAAGAAGTGAAAAGATTAGTTCACTGATCCAAGGTTATATATATAAGCTAGCCAGCCGTTTACAGGGCTCGCCCTTTGACAATTTCAAAGCTCATTTCACTCGGATCAGTTGCTTGCAATTCAACTCGAACACCATCCAGCTCTCTTCTGAATCTATCCTTGGAGCTGGCATACAACATTTTGCTCTTCACCCTCGATGTGTCAGGAGACCTTTAACCAAAATATAAAGTTATTAAAAACATGTATGATTACGGTTGGATATTATGTAAAATAAGTACATGTTTGTGTTTAAAAAAAACGATATTGGCACCATGAAATGAAGAAAAATTTGCTCTTCTGGCAGTTTTCATCAGTAGTGAAATCAAAATCATAGACAGCATAACGGCACTCGTTAGAAGGAAAACTGGCACTCAAGTCTTCATAGCTGCCGCTGGGTTCACCTAGCTTATCAACCACAACTTGTTGAATCTTTTCTTCTATTTTGAAAACAATGAACCTGAAGCTTCGCTTTGCTTTTAGCTCCAAGAACTTCATTTTACATTCATCGTTCACAGCCATTCCGGATGCCGAATTCGCTTGCCCCATCAAGGACAGAACATTCAATAACAGTACTAGGAAAAATGTAATTATATGACTAGCTGATTATTGATCTTTCATGAAATATTTTGTCGGTACCAAAAGTAAAAAAGATCAGAGAAATGAAATATAAGCCAATATTGTTAGGCTTCTTTTGCCCTCTATCCCTTGGAGGACCTGAAGTGTAAACCCACAATATTTTTTCAGATATATCCACTTCTAACATATATAAAATACTGTTGACATGTTTATCAATTTTATCGTTTAAGCGGTATCAAAAATATCTCGAGTGTCCAGAAGAAAATTTTCTTTTAAATTTGAATCTGCCCCTGGGGGATGGATGGTTTTATAACAGCCAGGTAAGAATCAAGAGACAAGATTAATAACATCTTCCAAACCATTTGGTAGCTTGAATTGTTCAATCATCAATGCTTTATTTAATCCAATGAACCCAATTAGATATGTCATGTCTATCAAAGAAACAGACACTTGTTAGCTACAAAAATTATGATTATAAGCCTGTTTGAATTCATGATGTCTAATTAAAAAGTGGTTAAAGTAACTAATTATCATAATTTCTTTAAGGAATCTGATTCAAAAAGAAAAGGGAAAGAAAAGATACCATTTAATGGGACAGAGAGGGAGGCGTTTGTGAGATGTGAAGCAGTGAAAGGGAAAGGAGGGAGCAAGAGGGTGAATGATGGTTGTGGAGAGTAAAAAGAGAAAAGAGATCCTTGTTTTTAGGGGTTATGAGAGGTGAAAATTTGGTTTTAAAGAACGAGATAATTTGGAGGAGAAAATTGATGATTTTGGGATTTTAGTGTATGCTTGGATCTGGTTATGTCCACAATTTACTTCCCATGCTTCTGTTACTTGTGATATATCCAAACTGTTTTAGTACCACAGAAGTTTTCTATTCATGTAAAAGATTGAACCAAATGTTTAGGTGCTTTCTTTTACCTTAAAATGATTTTAAAATATTTTTATAAATACTTTAAGAATGATCGTATGAATCAATCAAATTAAATTTTAAATAAATATTTTAAAAATAAAATACGAGAGGAAAAATAAATATCCTACAATAGTGTTGATTATCAAATCATATTTTAAGTATATAATTGGTGAGCATCTTCTTCTTCTAGGCAATTATTGGCGGATTGAGTTTGAAGCAACCGGATACAATATTTGAAGACAAAATTGAGTTGACAAGCATAATCATTGAAAGTTTTTGGAATGATCCATAAGATCAAGTCTTCCCATTATGCAAAAGAGGTTTGGATATATAGTTTGCTTTGTACCCAAGGCTTCTTACGAATCAGGAAGATCACCATACATTTCTGTGATCACATGATGAAAAACCTTTGAATCTCTCTTCCAGTTGTCAATCCCTTTATCGGCTTTGACAAATAATAGTAACCCTTTCAATCCTCCACCTTTGTCAGCAAAGGATTGAGAGAGTAAAATGCAAGTTTCCATAGCAAAACAAGTGAAGGATCGATTCTCCACTCCGAATCTGCCATCAAATGGGATGAAAACCATATTGATCATATAGCTTCACTTGCACAATAACCCCCACCCCAGCATCAGCATGTGCCCACTCATTCATGCAGCCATGAAAGAATCGGACTCAAAGCTCATATGGCATGAAAAAGATGCACACAATTGAATGTGTAAAAGAATATTTTATAACTTGGGGTTTCATGTTTTATAAAAAGGTTGAAATAATCAAATCTCCAATATGAAAAAACCATAATAAGTGGTGTGTTATATTTCTAAAAGGAAAAACAATATGAAAAAACCAAAATTATCTAATATTTATACTCTAAAACGTCATAATTAATGTCTTCTTATGCGTTAAAATATGATTTTTTTTTTGTTTCAAAATTTGGATTTCTATCCAAACTTTATCCCTTTTGTCATTTGAAAAAAATTGATAAAACTCAAAAATAATTTTTTTTAATCTTAGCAAGTATTGGTGCTACTAAAAACCATTAAATGATATTGTTTATTCTTTGAATTTATATTTGATATATTGTCAGTTTATAGATTTCATATATTATAGCGAATTAGATGATAATACTTCATTGATGATCAAACAAAAATTTTTATTAATGAATTAGCATCATTTAATTTATAGTGCATTAACTATAAACTTTTATTTTTTATATACTATTTATGTAATTTTTTAATTTTACAAACAATATTAAAATATTAACACATATTTTTTATATATTCTAAAAATATAAATTAACTTTTTAAATATACTTCTAAAATTTAAAACTTTATTTGAAATAATTTCTTAAGTTAATAATCAATCAACAAAGAAAATTTTATTCACTGGGTGAGCCTCGGCCCATCTAATCACATCAATTAAAGCATCATCTGGTAAGGCCAGCACCAATAATTTTAATAGTTTATACTCACCAACACTGAACCAAATCCCAAATTCAAAAATTCAATTTCCCACTAAAACGAAACGTCCATCAGTAACCGACCCTTAACCCCACCTCCATCTGCCGCCAACTAACGGAAACCGTTAACTCCTCTATAAAAACCCCACTCAACCCAATTCCCCCACCCCCAAAAAAGGTACAGTCTTCTCTCAGTCCTCCTATATTCTAAATTACATTTTCCTCTGCAAACTTCCATCACTTTAACGAGAAAATGAGAGAAATCCTCCACATCCAAGGTGGCCAATGTGGCAATCAAATAGGAGCCAAGTTCTGGGAAGTCGTCTGCGCCGAACACGGCATCGACTCAACGGGTCTATACCACGGCGACTCGGAGATCCAGCTGGAGCGCATCAACGTCTACTATAACGAAGCCAGTTGTGGCCGATTTGTTCCCCGCGCCGTCTTAATGGATCTAGAACCCGGTACTATGGATAGTGTAAGATCCGGTCCGTACGGACAAATTTTCCGTCCCGATAACTTCGTTTTCGGACAATCCGGAGCCGGAAACAACTGGGCTAAGGGACATTACACTGAAGGAGCCGAGCTTATCGATTCCGTTCTCGACGTCGTCAGAAAAGAAGCCGAGAACTGTGATTGCTTGCAAGGTTTTTTTTTTTTTTTTGCATTTTTTTTTGTTAATTTACTGGTTACTTAACTTTGGTTAGTCTTAAATTGGGGCTGTTTGGTTACAGGGTTTCAGGTATGCCATTCCTTGGGAGGAGGAACGGGTTCCGGAATGGGAACGTTGTTGATATCTAAGATAAGGGAGGAGTACCCGGACCGAATGATGCTTACATTTTCAGTGTTCCCATCTCCCAAGGTTTCAGATACTGTTGTTGAGCCTTATAATGCAACACTTTCTGTTCATCAGCTTGTGGAAAATGCGGATGAGTGTATGGTTCTTGATAATGAAGCTTTATATGATATATGCTTCCGTACCCTTAAGCTCACCACTCCGAGTTGTAAGTCAATTTTGGTTTTCTTACAAATGAAGTTTCTGTTGATTTGTTGTTCTGTTAAATTTTGACCTTTTGAGTTTGTTTGGTTGGTGAGAAATGAGATAATTACTAAAATTTGTTTTATTTTAAGGTATTTAATCTAGTATTATTTTGGCGTGACATAATTATATAGACTGTTTATTACTATTGGTAGAGGATATTTGCGTTACTGTTGTGAGTGCGTTTGTTATTTGGTTTTAGTTGATAATTATGTCTTGTTTGATGAATCCAGTTTTGTCCATCTAGAATTACTATCGCATCTGCAATAGTTTTCTTGTCAAAACTAGGACAGTCGAAATTGTGGTCTTGGGGGTGACAATGTTTGTCGCTCCGTACGGAACTTGTTGCGTCAGTTATGTGTGAAATTGCTATTTCAATATAAGATCCTTAACCTTCTCGTTTAGGTTCTGCTTTGGGAGGGTTGAAAACTGTGAAGTATGAACCCTTTTTTCGGTTTACCATGATGAGTTGAGGTAGCATGAGCCATATGAATCTTAGATTCTTTTCTCGTCGCTGTGAGTAATGGCACACCATATCCTTCTATTGTGTATGAAATTTATGGTTTCCATTGGCGCAAATCCAATCTTGGAATAGATACAGTCGGTATTCACATGGTTCTCACTTTCTTGAGCATTTTGCTCAAGGCAGAGACTAGACTAAGATTTTGGTTTTGGCATTTCAGAATGTCTAGGTAATTTTTAATTATATAATAAGAATATGGTACTTACAAGTAAAATATATTGTAGGGTTGGCACATGGTTCACTAACAAGTGACGATCACTATGATTAGTTTATGATAAGTTTTTCATCCATACTAAGATTTTAGTGAGATGCTGGATAATAAGTACTGTTTTCATTGATGCAAGAGTTATCCATTTACCTGAACAGAGTGGTGATTTCACATGGATCTCACTTTCATAGGCTTTCGCCAGATAATTTAGACAGATTATGGTGGATAGATTGTGGTATGCTTTGCTACAATCATGCACTTAACCAAATGGGGCTTTCTATTTGACATGTGTGTATAAAGCAGAGAACTTAGCTTTTGGATTTCTAAAATAACCAAAAAAAAATTTTTGGGGTTTTCAATTTGATGCAACTAATTTGTCGGTACTCAATGCCTGTGTATAGAAACTAACTTGCAATACTTGATGTTCAGTTGGAGATCTTAACCATCTAATTTCTGCCACTATGAGTGGTGTTACATGCTGCCTTCGCTTCCCTGGTCAGCTTAACTCTGACCTCCGCAAGCTTGCTGTAAACCTTATCCCATTCCCCCGGCTACATTTCTTCATGGTTGGATTTGCACCTCTGACATCTCGTGGTTCCCAGCAGTACAGAGCCCTCACTGTCCCTGAACTTACTCAGCAAATGTGGGATGCCAAGAACATGATGTGTGCTGCAGATCCTCGGCATGGTCGATACCTGACAGCATCGGCTGTGTTTCGTGGTAAGATGAGCACAAAAGAGGTTGATGAGCAGATGATCAATGTGCAGAACAAGAACTCGTCGTACTTTGTTGAATGGATTCCAAACAATGTGAAGTCCACTGTTTGTGACATCCCTCCTAATGGTTTGAAGATTGCATCCACATTTATTGGGAACTCTACTTCAATCCAAGAGATGTTCAGGAGGGTCAGTGAGCAATTCACTGCCATGTTCCGCAGGAAGGCTTTCTTGCATTGGTACACTGGAGAGGGGATGGATGAGATGGAGTTCACAGAAGCTGAGAGTAACATGAACGATTTGGTCTCCGAGTACCAGCAATACCAGGATGCATCTGCAGATGTTGAGGAGTACGAGGAAGAGGAGGAATACGGGGAAGAGGCTTAAAAGAGATGGAATATGTTAGCCCCCTTTTCCTGTAGCTTGTCGTATATTTGGATGTTTTTGTTGTGCTTTGGAGGATTTTTGTGCATGTGGAATCTGTTGATGCAATCTGGCATTTTCTCATTCCGGTGATTTGATCACTTTACTGTTAAATTTTTCTCAACTCTTTACAGTCTCGCAATTTACAGAGTACTTGGTTGTATTACACGCTGCTTTGTTTTCATCAGTAATTTCAACAGTATTGAAGGCAAAATTTGCAAAATTTAACTTGCAAAATTTGAAGGCAAATGTTTAGTGAACCCATATTTAAAATATTGTCAACCAACAATTTACAAGATGTGTTAATTGAGCAAAATAAACACTTATTACTGTGGACATCCAAATTATTTTAAAATAAGAGAGTTACACGTTATCTGTCTATTTCAATAATCACCTTACTTCCGATAAGGGAAGGAAAAAGAAAACTACAGCCACTTAAATCCGTACCTAAGTAACCTGACCCTTGAAAAGAAGTTTGAAGGAGAAGGAAATTTAGCAAAGCCGAATTAAGCTCCAAATTTGGGAACTTTGGCAGCAGACATTTGAGACAAGAAATGCTCTGCGACAATCCTCCGCTGGATTTTGCCAGTCGCAGTTTTTGGCAGGGAATCAGTGATGAAAACCTTCTTGGGGACCTTGAAACTAGCAAGATTCTTCTTGCAATATTGTGAAATAGCTGCCTCTTCTAAGCTTACTCCTTCCCTTGGAATCACTGCACAATTTATCTGCATTCGAAAGAAACAGAGAAATGTTAGACAATAACGCAACAGCAATTCATAAATCACAACCGTTAATGTTTTTCTACAAAGGTGGGCTTTGGCACACGAGAGAGAGACGGTTTCTCACCTCTTCACCATATTTCTCGTCGGGGACACCAAAGGCGACTGCCTGTGCAACATCAGGATGACCTAGTAGCACGGCATCTACCTCAATTGGTGAAATTTTCTCACCTGAGAACGTTAACAAATCAAATATCACATTAAAATTCTGACATACAACCGATTATTTAACTCAAATGACTCTAAATATGAAAACTTCTTTTATGTAACTAATGCAACATAAGAAATTTTTGTCAGCACAAATCGATACCTCCACGATTGATGAGCTCCTTGATCCGACCCACGAGATGTAAGTATCCATCCGAATCGAAAAACCCGACATCGCCAGTGTGGAACCAACCAAATAGAAAAGCTGATTTATTAGCCTCAGGATTATTCTTATAACCCTTTGTCACATTCAATCCCCTAATACAAACCTCCCCCTTAGCATTAAGCGGCTGAACCTCCCCTTGTTCATTCAAAATCGCCATTTCTTGACCAACAGGCTTCCCAACCGACCCGGCCTTATGCGGGCCACATTCCGGTAATGGGTTTGAAGCCATGAGATGAGATGCCTCAGTCATGGCGTAAGCCTCAAGCACTGGTGCGCCAAATGCCGCCTCTAGCCGAGCCAATATACTCGGGGCCAACGATGCGCTGCAGCTCCTAATAAACCTCAGCTTGGGGTATTCCGGCTCCGGCCTGCTCTCATGGCGGTCCAATATAATCTGGTGTATCGTGGGGACAGCAGTGTACCACGTGGCATTACATTTAGTCATGTCCGTCCAAAATGTCGACGCAGAGAATCTCCCAGCGGCTGGTAGAGTCACCGCGGCCCCGGAAATGAGTGAACTCAGTAAACCAGCTATCAAGCCATGCACGTGAAATAACGGGAGCACGATTACAGTCGAGTCAGACTCAGTGAGTTTATAAACCGATTTAATGTTCGAAACTGAGGCAGCTAGGTTGAGCTGAGTCAAAGGGACACCCTTGGGGCGGCTGGTGGTACCGGATGTATGGAGGAAAAGTGACACGTCAGAAGAGTCATTAACGAGTTCGTAGACCGAGTCAAGATTTGACGCGGGGCTGGAGGAGAGAGTGACTTTGGAATTTGCGTCACAGAGAGTAGCGGACACGTGGGGGATTTTGAGTTTGGAAGCCGCAGCTTGAGCTGGCTTGATGCCTTCGGCTGGGACTAATAAAAGCTTGGATTCAGAATCAGAAAGGTAGAACTCGAATTCCTCAGCGGTGTAAGCCGGGTTTAACGGCGCCGCGGTAGCTCGGCAGCGAATTACAGCCAAGAACATTATCACAAGCTGTCAAAAAAATAAATAAATAATAAATAAAGCATCACCACAAATGAAAAAAGAAATTAAAAAATATAAATGACATTTTATAAATTTTCACAAGAAAAAAAATCAACGTCAATGACATGGACATTTTTTGTTAACTTTTACAAGTTTGAAAAATCTATGGAGAAAAAACCTTGGCTTTGTGCGGTTACAAAGGAATGAAAGGGGAATAACATGGAAAAATAAAAAATAATTTGGCAATATGTTACGGAAAAATGATGATTTTACTTTGATTTTGGATCTTTTCTCCTCTGTATTTTCTCATCAACAAAACAGAATCTGATTCTAATGTTTTATACAAGGTTTGAACTGATTGAAACGTAAAAGTATAAACAAACCTCGACGGTGTTTGGGAAAGTAAGAGCGACAACATCGCCGGGCTGGATGCCGGAGGCGGTGAGGAGAGAGGCGGCGTGATCGATGAGTTGTTGTAATTGAGCATGTGTCAAATCGAATTTGCCAGAAACTGATAAAGCTCTCCTGCTTGGGAACTCCGCCGCAGCCTTCTTTAGTAATCCCGTCAAAGTTGAACTTTCCATTTTTCTCAACAACCAAACAAAGAAAACGCAATTAATGAGGGGCTGTGTTTGAGAGAAGGGAAGGGAGAGGGTGAGAGAGTTATAAAGGGTTTGAGAGTGAGAGGGATGTTTCGGTCGAGGTTTCGTTAATGGGAGGTGGAAATTGCCAGGTGGCAACTGTTGACGGTCAGTTTGAGTGTGCTCCGCATTGAGAGGTCTTTTCCAACTTCCGACTAATTTTTTGTGCGTTACTTTGTTTTGTCATACGTGGCTTCATTACCGTGGTTGATTGGTCTACGTAATGAAGTGGGGCCACTATTTGGTAAGGACGTGGAATTTGGAAACAACGTGCAGAAAATCAAAATCTTCCCATGAAACAGGGAAAAAAATTTTCAATTTTAATTCTTGATGGCTTTAATATATATGGCTGGTGGTCGTGGTCTTTGCATGACAAATTTTTGGGCACACTGGGGACCAAGAAAGAATGTGGCCTATACATTAGTTCATTCATGTTCATGCACTCTGTTTTGTCCATTTTTTTTTTAATTTCAAATTATGATTATAATCAATTCACTTGCATTAGCTCTCAAATGCTCTCAAATAAAATGTTAAAACATCAAGTTATTTAAACTTTTTTTATTATACTCTTTTATAATCACACATTAATCCTAACAATAATCATAGTTAGGATTAAAATAAAATTAAAAAATGACTTGTAAATATCATGATTTAAATATTAAATTTATTAAATAAAATTAAAAAAAACACGAACCTTATATATTATATGATTTGAGAACAACGACAAAAAAATAAAAATTATATGGTTATCCATTTGGTAGGGAATATGGAGGTATATGCTGTTCCTAAATAATGCAAAACTTCAAGGAAAGCGATGCATGGAACATGGTTAGGTTGTCCATAAGTTGAACCTAAGACGGCTCATTGGAAGCAAAGGAAGGCTCCCTAAAACTAACTATATTATATGTGTGAAACAAATAACTTTGTAATAAAGTAATATATTATTAGGTTACTAAACCAAACAAATGGTTAAGATAGTTGGATCCATGTGTAATCCCCACATCCAAGCAATGTCATTTGCTGGTTAATTTTCCTTTCGTATATTGTAACCCATGCATTAATTTTCTCCATTAAAAATGCATTATTCTTGGGATTCCATTTCCACCCGCAATGTTGTTTCATCAATATATGGCCTATGGGAGATGTAAAAGACAATACTTGATTCTACCGAATTTTTAATCATGACAAGGTAATTATAAATAATATAATAATATTAATTTTTATGTTGTGAATGTTATCCATTTCGACGACGGAATGCTTTAACCTAAAAGTGTCAAACGACTTAACTAGTAGGAAAGTATGCACAATGGAACTACTGCCTCTAATTCTATGAATATTTTATTAAATTAACTGTATAAGAAATGCACCTTTCGTTTTCTTTTTGGAACAATGGATGAACTTTCAATTGATAATTTTTTGAAAATTAGTTTTTTTTTTGTTAAATAATTATTTTGAAATTGCATATGAATTTGACTGGTATCCCTACACTTTTTTTTTAAATTATAAATATAAATTATAATTATAAAAAAATATTATATTGTTTTATAATCAAACAAATAAATTAACCAATAAACTAAAATATAATAAGACAAATTCAATATAAAATTGAATGAAAATTTATTATTTTAAAATTTTTAAGATTTTATCTTATTATTAAGGTAAAATCTCATTGGTTACCTGCAAATTTTTGTTTTGGAAATGGAAAAGGAATTCGAAGGCAAAAGTCCATCAGGTCAAGCGAGCCACTGCCAATAGTGTTTTTTGGTCATAATGTGTTCCTTGAATTGCTAATTCAATGAATGGACGAATTGGCCAGCCAACCATGTGATATAGAAACGGGAATTACCCACCTATATGTTGGCTAATTGGTTTTCTCTTGCCCAATGTCTCTACCAACTTGTTCCGTCTGATAAGAAAAAAGGTATCTATTCCTACAATTAAAGGAAACAAATTAAATGCTTTGTGAGGAAAAAGTAGTCCTAGAGGAAACAAATTTAGCTTCCCCTTTCATCGTTTTCAAATTCCTTTTGAAAGGGGAATTTTAGAGAAAAAATCACCGAATTTATTTCTTTTATTCTTATGCTATAGTTTATAAAATTAATTTTTTAAATAAAAATATTGTGAATTTAAAAAAGTTATATGCGTTAAAATTTAAATTTTAAAATTATTAGATATATAATCTATTTATAAAAAAAAAAATACTATGTAGTCTTTGTTCTACCATCATAGCTAGCTTAATTATTATAGTTACTTAAACTTGTAAGTATGAAATTTTATCCAAATTAACCCTTCTCTATATAACTCTATGAAGTAGTACATAATTAAAACCAATCGGTTAAAATAATAAAAGGATAAAAAGTAAGAAAATTTTTTAATATATTTTCAAGTACTTTGAGAAAATATTCTGATCACAACAAAACAAAATACATCAAGCTAGCTAACTCCAGATAGGAAGGTTTGTCTTTACATTTTATAGTCAAAGAGTCTGATTAACATCTTAGTCAGCTAAAATATTATTTTCTTTTTATTTTTTTTATAAAAAAAATTTGGAATCAAGAGATAACAAAAAGGTTTAAAGGTATTATCTAATTATAATTTAATCTCAAATTTAGTCATTTTTTAAGCATATACATGTTTTCGTTTTATATACGAAAAATGTGAATATCAAAGTTATACTTTTACCTATAGATCATGAAACATGGTGCATTTCTTATCAAAGAGAAATACATATAACCTCATGGTTTCACAGCAAAAAAATGTCATCTTTTCTTTGGTTTTTTTCTTTCTTTTTCTTTCTTCTCAGGTTTCCTTTTATTATTATTATTATTATTATTATTATTATTATCATGAAACCTAAATCGTCAAGTCTGGTTAGCAAATTACGAAACCTAGACCGTAACAAAAGGAAAACAAGTATGCAACACATCATCTAGTTAGCAAATAAAACCTCAAAGCCCAAAATTATTGTATGACTTTGAGGAGCTAGCTTATCCAATCCGACTAATTGAGTTTTTCAATGAAAGAAGGTGAAGGCTCAAAAAACAACTCAGGCAGGCCAGTCTAGGTTTTCAATGGCTCAAAGAGCCGATGCTTAAAACCGTGGTCCAGCCATTGGATTCCAGAAATCGAAAATGGGCAGGAACCCGGGTGGAAATGGTCAATGAAACGTGTCTATGCAGTTTGTGAGTGGGACAAGAGACCCAATGGAATCAGTTAGCTTGCAAAATGGATAGGTGTTTAATTGTCAACCCATACCCCGTCAGCCCTAAAATGATCAACACGAAACCGTTGATCTAACCATCGGGCCTTGGCCTGCAAGCAAACTATTTGGCCCATAAAAAAATAGTTATGACTTTGGTACAGAATTACAATTAAAATATGGGTTGGCATTTTATCAAATGGTAGGCCCAAACGACGTTCCTCGAAGAAAGGGAATTTGTCCACGTCATGTACCATTTCAAAAAATTGTTAGGGATATATATATGATTTGATCAACACAAATGCTATAAAAAAAAAAATGATTCAGTAATTTCATTAGCAATTCTACATTTGACATCGACTAATGTCCCAATGAAAGTCTTGTCTTGTTAAAAAAAAAATCCTAAGATTAACGGTGAGTGCTTGATTATAAAAAATAATCTATTACAAGACACAAGTTACCAAACAGCTTGCTTACACACAAAGTTGTCTTATTTGTTCCGTCAGATTGCATTTTATTCAATTCTTTTTCTTTCCGCCTCATCGACGCAAACGAATACTTACAGAAGATTGATATGAAGGGCTTTGGGTCAACAATTGGAATCTTAAGTCGAATCAAGATTCTATCATCTGACCTAAGGTTAATACTTACAAAAAAAAAAATAGTACAACCTAGAGCCTTTGACAAACATTAAAAAAGAAAATTTAATAAAAAATTTAAAATTTAATTCAGTTTTTTTATGTAATAATGTTTAAAAAGTAATATTAAAAAGATCTTAAATTTAATTTTTAATATACAATTTTTTATTATTAAATTGTGACATTTTATATATATATATATATATAGACACACAGAAGAGAAGAGAAGAGAAGAGAACTATAAATCAAGGTTAGCAACCTGATTTGCTTGAATTACTTAAAGTAAATTATTTATTTTATTCTTATGCTATAGTTTATAAAATTAATATTTTTTAATAAAAATATTGTAAACTTAAAAATAAAAAATTATATGCGTTCAAATTTGATTTTTAAAATTATTAGATATATAATCTATTTAACAAAAAGAAAAAAAAATACTATATATAGTCTTTGTTCTACCATCATAACTAGCTTATACTTAAACTTGGAAGAATAAAATTTTATCCAATTTAACCTTTATGTATATAACTCTACGAAGTAGTTTATAATTAAAAACAACCAGCTAAAATAATGAAAAGTTAAAGAGTTAAAAATTTCTTCGATATATTTTCAAGTACTTTGAGAAAATATTATGATAACGACAAAACAAAATACATCAAGCTAGTTAGCTCTAGATAAGGAGATTTGTCTTTGCATTTTATAGTTGGAGACTCTAAATAGCATTTTAGTCTATTAGAATTTTAATTTAATTTAATTTTTATAAAAGAAAATTGGAATCAAGGGATAACAATAAAGTTTAGAGGTATTATCTAATTAGAATTTAATTTCAAATTTATTCATTTTTTAAGCATATGCATGTTTTCATCTTATATACGAAAAATGTGGATATCAAAATTATACTTTTACCAATAGACCATGAAACATGGAGTATTTCATATAAAAAAGAAATATATATTATATATATATAACCTTATGGTTTCACAGCAAAAAATATCATGTTTTCTTTGGTTTTCTCTTTATTTTTATTTCTCCTTATGTTTCCTTTAAAAAAAAAAAATTATGAAACCTAAATCGTCAAGTCTGACAATTTGACGTTCCTTCACTACTTAGCTTATGTTTGGATTGAGGAAAGATGAAAGAAAAGAAAGGAATGCAAAGGAAACAAAAGAAAATGAGAAATTCTTTTCCTTATTTGTATATGATATAAATAAAAATAAAAGAAAAAAAAGTATGCTTAGTTCCCTTTGATTTCTCTCAACTTT